GGGGGGGGGGGGGGGGGGCAGGAGAGAGCTTCCCCACGGCCCTCGCGTCATTTCTTTGTAAACCTATATAGACAAATTATCCCCGTATTTAGTCAAAAGAAAGAGACCAAAATAGGAACCTGGTGTGATTCTTTCACGGGCAACAAGCATTGGATCATTCAGTTCAATTAATTTCTTGCAACATGTTGCGCATTCCTGCATAGAAATTGTTTCCTAGAAAGAGCCAAATCGAATATTTCTTCAATCATTCAAAAGAAACAATGTACCATTCAAACCCCAGAACATCAAATTTCTGTTCATGGAAATATTCATTTCATTAGTAAATTCAAACATTTTAAAACTGCTATCATATCTAGAAATTAAAGATTCAATTTAACCTTCTGTATCAAACATATAGCTGATAAAAACATGCATCTAAAGATAAAAATGCTTTATGTGATTGAAGATAGAACGCAAAGGGGAAATAAAATTATTTCTAAAGAGTTGTTGCAAGCTTTCAAAGCTGCCGTGAGTACAATAAAAAAAACCTAATTGGAGATGTAAAAGATCAACATATGAACGGCGTTTAAATGCCATCAAGAGAAAGGAGAGCAGGAAGGGCAAGTCGATATTTTACTGCCAAGGGTAAAGAACTATGCAAAGAGTTCCCAGCTCTTGAATCAGAAATTAACAAAAATAGTATCTCAGATATTCCTCTTCCAAACACGAAGAATCATGTTGTTGATCTCATAGGTATTGGGCCTAGCCTAGGAATAAGGAACCTGTCGAATAAAACGCATTTTGATTGTTTTATGGCTTGAATCCAGAGTTATATCGAGAAAGCAAGTTGACGTGGGGGATACTTGACTGAGATTTTCTAGAGAGATAGGGCCAAATAGGGGATGCTTAGACTGGTTAATGGGTGAGACTGAAACTAGTGCTGCTAGAAGAGCTTGAACGTAACCGAGGAAAGGCACAGTTAAAGAGAAAGTCACCGTTTTGAAACAATTGCGGCTTAATTTAATACTATCTGTTCTATCGGTAGAAACAAACAAACTTGAATTTGAATGAAACGAGAGGAAATTTAAACTGTACTGTCACAGCAGGGGACAGCAAAATAATTCTAATAAAAACTCGACCATAATGTAGATATTGCTGATGCAAAGGATAAAAGTTGGTTCAGAAATCAATTCATCAATCTATTTTATCAAAAGATCCTATTCCTAGATAAAAGGCTGATTTTCCATTCTCCTAATATAATCTATTTCCCAAGCTAAAGTAAACGTTAATGAGCCTTCATTGATTTACCAAGGAATCAGTTTTCCTTTGAAATCGTAAAATAGGCCATTGTCCTTTTCTCCAAGGCCTTCAGCAACTCTTAAGAGACCTTCTACGCATTCTGTGGTTGACGTTATTGCAAATCCACCACCCATGTCAGTCTTTACCCAGCCAGGATGCAGAACAACTGCTAAGATCCCGTCACTTTTCAGTTCAATGCTCAGGTTCTTGTTCATCATGTTTAAGGCAATCTGCAAAAACAACAAAAGTGTCAAGCATGACTAGAAGACTTGAGGAAACAGTCAGAAGTTGAAGAAGCAAAGGTTTGATACAGCTACCAGGACGAAATTTTTCAATCTAAGAGTAGTAACAGACGCTCTGAAGAAATTATCAATTCAAAAGCGTTGAATATATTTAAAAGCAAGGTGGACAAATTATACCAAATCTATAGATTCTCTATGGATACCTTCTCCATTCCCCTGATAATTGTCTCACCATGTATTATAGCTTAGTTTTGCTACAATTTAAACCAGACTCTGGGATTTTAAAAATTATCATTATCTTCAAAAATCCTGTTGTCTGTAAATTATCATTATTATCATATTCATTTCAACGGACATAATTTACCTTTGAACATCGTTGGCTATAATTTCTTCCACTTGAATTGTCATCAATGGATCCAATCTTGCCGGACATGTTAAGAACCGCAGCCCTCGCACAACTCATTGGCTTAGAAGATTCATTCTTGGCTGCTTGTTGAAGCAATGGAAGAAATTCCTATTCAGAAGCAAGGTCAAAATTGGTCTGAGCTACCATAGGGTTTTGATTTAAGTTGTTTAAACTGAAAGTTGATGTTACAGCTCCCTCTCTCTCTCTCTTGACATTATGCATAAGACAGCATTTCTTTTCATGCTCTGCCCTTTCGCCAATTTTCGCCAATTTGTCCGTAAGCCTCATTAATATGAATTCAACATTTCGCTGAAAATCGCTCAACATTTGTAGAGTGTGAATGTTCAGAGGACTTAAACACCCTGTTGAATAATGTTCAGTGATTCTTAGCAGCATAAAGCGATGTTGAGTGGGGTTTGTACAAAAGGCATGGCTCTGGGGGAGCGGCAAATCATGTAGTAGTTAAGGGTCCTTTTTGGTTCTTCGTAGTTAATGGTCCTAGGGGTCATAGGGGTCCTAGGGTCACAGGGTCTGGTTTTTCCAGTATGCCCGTCAATTATAGTCGGCCACTGAGCCAGTGATGGTTTTAAGGGGGGTCCAGGGGGCCATGGCCCCAGGACCCCCCTTATGATAGCCAAAAAGGGCCCTACATCTAAGAAAAAAGATAGAAATTGTAAAGAACAAGGGCCCCGCTGATGTTTTTTGCCCCGGGCCCCGCAGTCCCTAAAACCGCCTTTGCACTGAGCAAATGTTGAATGAAATGTTGAGAGAGTTTTAATGCACCCCACTGAGCATCGCTGAACAGCACTTTACAAATGTTCAGCCATGTTTATTTAGCCAAATGTTGAGAAATTTTGAAAGGGCTTTAAACTCTAACGCATAAATCATTTTCAGACCACTATATTATCTGAAATTCAACTTGATTGTTCATTTACCGAGGGTAATCACGTGCTGCTGATTTGAAGACAGTCTTGCCTGGTGTGGCCAATCAAAGACAACATTGTATTGTTCAAAACTTCATTGTTTATATTAGCCAATCGCTGAAGGGAAAGTCTGCCTTAATTTGTAATCATAATTCACAATTATGACTTTCATAATAAAATATCTAACCTTAATAATCATTGTTGGTGCAATTGTGTTTATCCTGTAAGATTCCATCATGACTTCAGGTGTAACATCTTGCAATCGCCCTTCCAAATGCAGAATGCCAGCATTATTTATCAAAACGTTAAGGCCTTTGTCCCCAACATGACCTTTGACAGTTTCAAATGCACTCTTTACATCATCAAGATTTCCCACATCTAGTGATGAAGCAAGAAAGAGCAAATGATGCTGAGGGGTGTATCATTAATTCCAGACAGCGTATAAAATTATTAAGAGCAAAGGGATTTTAAGGGATCTTTCTTGAAAACAAAGGGATTATTGCTATATGTTTACAAGATTATTGTGGATTAAGATGCTCCTTGGAGCAGGATCCGACAGCATATTCATATAGGCTCTTTTATGTACGTGTCTCCTTCTCTGGCTTGCAAACTTTTAATTAAAATTAACCATCTTTTTCCAATATTTTCACACGGAAACATTTCTATCTTAGCAAACCAACTTACAGACATAACAATATGGCTTCAAGTAGAAGAATCATTGTTTGCAAATGCCTTCATTCAGCTGAGTCCTGAAACCAGTGGTAGCGACGCCATGCCGTAATTCTCTTGTTCGATAGCTAGTTCAAATCGCTCAGGTGTGGCAAACCAGCAAAACATTAATGGTTGATAGAGGCTGTTCTTCCATTATTTTGGTCGTAAGACATCTTTAGAATAGAAAAAAATACTTTGAAAATTTAAATTTCGTTCCTAGTTCATCTTCCACATCTTTCACACCCTACCTAGTTTTATAATTTGAACACATTTGTTTTCTTCAGCAATTCTCTTCAAATCCTACAAAACCAAAAATCAGCAAACATTACATAATTGCTTCTGTCGACTTTAGTTACATAGCATTAAGTTTAATGATATAGAATTCTCAGCACAATAAAATGTGACATCATAACATATCTATATTTAAAATGAGATATGGCCTTTGATATGGCCAATGATGAAAAACTTGAAGTTTGCTAAAGGATTGCTATTGTTTTAGCTCTGTTCATATAATGATGAACAGAAAACAAATTACAGAGGTTTGATTGGGAAAGAGCCTATCCTAATGTCCCTAGATTTCCCTATTTAATCCCGTTCCCTATTTGACCCCGAGCGCTGCCAACATGATTGGGAGATTTAGAAACGGAGGGCTGCAATGATGTTCAAAATGGAATTGAACCTTTATAAATTACCGTAGCTCCGTCTGGTGACCTGCATGTCGCAAATATAATTTCTGGCCTGTTAGGTTGCTTGAGAAGCTGTTTCACAAGTTCAAGGCCAATTCCTCGGTTTGCACCGGTGACAAGCACAGTCTTTCCAAACGCCATGTTTGATGCCTTGGTCGAGTTGCTCCTGCGAAATATTCTGGAAGTCAGTAGACAAAAATGGTTTGATGTTAGAGTTCAGCTCAAGTCAGTCCATGTTTCTAGAATTTTCAAAAGGAGACGAAACTCCTTACGGATTAGAACATGAGTTTGTCAACAAGTACACTTGTTTGTTGAAAAATTTCTTGTTGTCTGTGTCTGAGAGCACACCCATTCGGCATACTGTAAAAACCAGACCATAAGACCCTAAGACCCAGGATTAAAAAGGACCCTTAACACCAGAAGGTTCTTCACCTTGATAAGACAATAGTTGATCAGAGTTGACTGTCATCAATGCACCATGAGGACATATCAACTGTCAAATGTGCTTTTGTGCCCACTACGGCGTTCTTCTGCATTTTATTCACATCAATTAGGTAATAAGTTATCACAGTTTCGATGTCTTAAATAAAAAAGATTACCGGTAAATTTACATAAAGACATTTTTAATGGCATTTAAGAATGTTTAACGTCCATGAAAAATCTCGGGAAATCTTTAGAAATCCCTGGGAAGTCTAGAAGTCCCTATCAAATCTGATCAAAAATCCGAAAATGGCAATAAGGGTTTTAGGAATTTTAGAAATCCCAAAAATCTCGTACGCTATTTCAGGTAGTGAAATGTCCCTTGAGCACTCCTATCCTAAACACACAAACATACCCTTTGAGCTTGCGCCTTTTATTTCTCCCTAGTTGTAACATATTGTTTGGTTAATTTATCCAATAATTGGGTAGATTTTTAGTATTAGGGACTATTTTATTATACGTAGGTAAAGTAGGGAGACTGGATTCTTTAAGGGACAGATCATTCTTTAGAAAATTTCGTGCAAGATTTCCACAAAACAAAAGATTTCTAGGGATTTTAATGTAATACGTGAGATTTTTACTATAGATGTATGCGATTTTTATAGAGTAATTTATCCTTCAGGATTCTTGCTATATCTCGATTTTACTTTTGATTCTGGATTACTTTTGATTGTATCTGGAAAGGAGACTACCTCGATCTCAGTCACTCCAGTGCCCAAACCGTTTTCGCGCGCTCTTCTTAGGCCTACTTTTATGAAATGTGACATGTCTCGAAGAATCAAATGCAATTAATAAGTGCTGAAGACTGTTGAAGTCAAGATGAGAAAGTTAGGAGTAAACCGTACTTCAGATCTGCAACCATTTCCGTACAATACTCAGGAAAATCTTGAGCGATCAGATACTGGTAGTCTTGTTGGAAGTATTAGTTGTGATGGTGACTTGGCATATCTTGCACGAGGCACATGTTTAGAAATTGTTAATACCTGCGATGGAAGTCGAAGATCGGCCTGTAACTTAGGAGCAGTACGTGATAATATTAAAATTAACTGTTTAGTTGAGTATTTCATGGAAAACTCAAGAAAACTGTTGCTAGGACTCGAGGTCATTGGATGGAAGAGAAACGGTTTATTGTGTGTGTTTGATTTGGCGCTAGCAAAGGTTGTACGGGCAATCTGGCTACCCCAAGCTGTTACTGCTATTACTGCCATTGGAAATGTTACGGATATGGACTCAAAAATATCAAATTTAAGGTGAAGGAATTGTACCTTTGTAGCATCAGTTTATTGCTAGATTTTTTGATATGATATGAAAGGCATTTATTCATGAATGGACCAGCCAGTCTGCAGAGTATGGCATGTGCACACCGGATATATTTTTGTGCAAAACTTGTTGCACGCCGGGTATTTTTGGGTGTGGCTGGGTGTGGTCCCATAGAAAATGTCAGCTGATAAAAACAAGTCAAGTAATACTTGACAAATATACAAATAAAAACTTGCGCTATCTTCAACAGTGTACTTCACACACATTCATACATAGTCGGTGCACACCAGCACATCAGAAATTTTTTGTGGTGCACATCGGCACGCCAGGCTTTTTGCTCATGCACACCGGAGATCTCGTTGAAAAGTGCCATACTCTGCAGACCGGTTGACCAATTTGCAAAGTATAGATGATTTTGACAAGATCTTGGTGCGCTTACTGCACTGGATCTTATGTAGTTTTCAGCCAGGCTTGAAAGCTTGTGAATGCATGTAGCTATGCTGGATTTCTTGTGCTCGCACCTGTCTCACAATATCAATCAATTCATGTATATAAAAACTAAAGTCATGTATATATGAAAGTCATTCTTGAAGCCAAGGCTAGGCCAGGTGTATACCGAGGTTCGTATGCAATAAAACCCCCAAAAACAGTATGAGGAGACACAGGCAAGTTGTTTACAAGTAAGGTAATGGGATTGATATAATTTTGGAACCTTTCAAAGCAACCCCATGCAACTTATGAAACCCAGCTAAGCCAATGCAGTGTGCAAAGAGTGGTCTTCAAAACTTGTGATGTAAAAATCAGAATTAAAAGTTATAAACAATCACAGAAAGTGCTATCTGTGGCGCTGCTGTGCCATTTTCCAAAATTATCAAATCATACATGTTTTTCAACGTGGTCTTTAGGTGCCCCATTAACATTTACATGTCTACATCTTTGTTGGGTGTGTTATTACCATGCTCAGCAAATTGGATGATTGGCAGCTGAAAATGTCCTGACTGCTGTGTTTATAGCAGATCCCCCTGTTAAGAATTGTTGCCCTGAGATCATTCCAATAGAAGACGTTTAGTAATGAGTTCCATATCATAATATAAAATTTTCTGTTTTATAACTCAACTAACTACCAACAGCAAAACGTGCGAATGTACGTAAACAAGTCTTTGTTAAGAAATCTATTGTGTAATATAAACAAATGCATGTTCGCACTTTGTGTGAAAAGAATTATAATGTTTCATTGTTTTGTTCATTACGAAGCTAAAGATTGTATTCTCAACACCCCCAAAATATTTTGAATTCATATAGCCAATCAAAATAAAATTTATGCTTGGATATCCTGATAAGAACACCTAGACTCATATAAAAGATGTAACTGCTAAACAGAAGACCAAGAAATTGTTATTGGGCTATGAAATTAAATTTTAAATGTACAACATGGATAGAAAAAGAGACAAGAAAGTGTGATAAAAATAAGTGCGGTTGCGTGATGAATATGTCTTTTCACTAAAGAAATGAAATCTTACAAATATTACCTGTTCAAATCAAACAATTTAAACTTGAGTTACATGCTCACCTGAAGATAACAGAAAAATATTCTATGCCAAGAACATCAAGCTCCTAATATTGTTTTGATCTTGAGTGTTCTCCCAAGGTACTTGCCAGTCTTCCATTTATGTAAATGTTATTCCCTAATTTTTTCTTGGAAAATTAAGATCTCAAAATGTGCAAATTTGTTGACATACAGGCACATGATTTCTACATTTTATCAATTTCTGGTCAAGGAAAATCCACCTGTTTGTTTAAAGCTGTGAAAGTATATTTTCCCGATATTTAACTAACATTTTATGTAGTTGCTAACATAAATCAAGCTTTGTTAAAGATGAGCTGTACTTTCCTCCTGACTGCTGAGTTTTGTAAAATTTATGCAGAAGATTTGGCAGATTTGTGCTGTTATTGTTAAATAACTCACACCCTTATTTCTCAAACAGCTAGATACTTGTTTGCAGCTCTTAATCTTATTGGTTGAAAATATTCAGCAATATCTATCCTAAATGTTAATACCAGTAGTAACTGTGCTCTTTGTAAGTCAGATGTCAAGGAATTGCACTTTTTTAAAATCATTTAGGTGCACTTTTTTAAAAACATTTAGGAACCTCAAAATAGAGGATGCTTACAGATCAATATAAATACCTATACTATATATGATAAGTGTATTGATTAAATTTTGGTGAGTAACACAATCAACTTTTTTTTACAGCAATGAACATTCAAAGGGAATTGTAATTGTTGGCTGCCAAGGAGGCCAGGTTTTAATTATAAGAATTGGGAAAATGAAATCTTATGATCATAGAAATGATTTAAGTCTTCCTGCTGATGTGGAATACATAAAATTAAAAGAGATTCTAAAGACCAAGGACTTGGAACTGAAATCATCTACAAACTACTGCATTGATTTATCAAGTATGTTCATGACTGCTGTCTCTATTTTATGTTCTGTGTCAAGCTATCCATTTATTGTACTTCTTTCTAGAATAATTGCCTCACTTGACAAAAGGCCCAGTGTAAAACATCCTTATTTACAAATGCATTCTATTGTTTTATTTTCTTTCTTTGTGGAGAATCGATAGCAAAGAAGAGGTTATTTTTTCCATGTTTTAAATGCTAGTTGCAATGGCAGTCACTGATTGTCAAAATGATTCATCATGCTTTATGTCACCTGCTGTCCAGCTATTTGTTGCTAAACTTTATCAACTTTATAACTTTCTTGTTTATATAATGTATATAATGTGGTTTGTTTCATCTTTCTAGTAAATTTTTGGAGCGATGGTAGTTTCAGATACTTGGACCATAAGGGGAAACCACTGAGGGTTCTTCGAAGAGGTATGCACAGCCATATGAATAATTATGGATTGTTTTGATTTCATGTGTTACCAGAAACATATCATTTTTCAAACCAAACAACCTGACATCTCACTTTGGGCCACATTGTGTCAATCAAGTTGAATGTGATGATCCTAGACCAATTTTTCTCAGAAAATTAATCTTACTTGTTGAATCTTTGGACTAAGCACCCTCATCACTGGAGTATGTATGTAGGAGTATGACATGTTTAGCCCATTCAGTCCCAGACATTTTTGCTTTCTCATGCACTTACCCCTAGCCTCATTTTCGTGATTTTGGCTCTTCTCCCCAGACAATATGGCAAAAAATTTAAAAACTGAGGTAACTTGAGAAAAATGCATGTATTTCAAAAACCATTGGGTCTTTTAAAAAACATACAAGAGAAGAAACAATGCAAAAGAGTTAAATTACTTAAGTAAAACACTATGGTGGTTAGAAAATTGTTAAAAAGGTCAAAAAATTAATTGTTCTTTTCGTGGAAAGGCCTAAAACAGTCAATGCAAAGATGGACAGAATCATCGTTGCTGCACCCGTCGCAAACGATCCTTGATTCAGCCCGTTTCTTCTCAGCAATGCAGTTTTTGCATCTTCTGGCAGTCTTCACTTTTTTTGGCAAGTGTCCATGATCAGAAAGTCCTCCCTTGGAGGCCTTTCGCTTGCGATAGTTTTGGCCTTCAAGGAGGTACTTTGCAATTGCCTTCTTGAATGACAAGACACTTGGGGCTACGGCAATGCCTCTTGAGTTGATCTTTTTGTGGTTTTCTGATTCCTTAAAACAAATGAAAGCATTTGCCAGGCTAATATCATACAGAAACCACATAATATAAAGCCACCAGCGCTTCGTTGAGCGGGCTGTAGGATATAGTGTGCGAAGCTGATCGCTGTGGTCAACGGCATTCATGAAGTTGTTGTATTTGACAATTGGCCAAACGCAAGGAACTTCCTTCATGGTCCCATCTTTTTGACGCCGATTGATAGTAGTTGGGCCTTCGCTTGAATCGGTATTTGTTGATACAACCAGAACTGGCTTGCGCCCCTTCTTCTCGCGCCAAGCAGAAACAAGAATCCCATCATTTTGGAATTGCTTGGAATCTCCGCCATCCTTTATGAGGTTGTTCACCTTTTTCTTCGAGTCAAGATCGAAAGGGAGCCCCTTTACATTTGATCTGACAGTTCCGCAGCAATACAAGCCTTTCTCAAGCAAAGACTTGCAAAGTGCAGGACTGCAGAAGTAATTATCGCAGTAGATGTGACTGTTCGTACCATACAGTGGCTCTGTTAGGTCTTCAACTACCTTTCTACCAAGGCCTACCTGACGAGTACCATCTTTAGGCTTCCCCAAGTAAACGCTAAAATCGTTACAATAGCCGTTGTGGGAATCTGCCCGCATCCAAATTTTGATCCCATATTTGGTCGGTTTTGACAGCAAATACTGTCGGAAATCAAGCCTTCCTCTGAATGCAACCATGGCTTCATCGACAGCACATTCCATGTGCGGGTTGTAGTTTTTTAAACAGTTGCCCCTCACAATTTCCAAAATAGGCCTAACCAGATAGAGTTTGTCATAGTTCTCGTCTTCTTTACCTGGCATCTTTGTTCTATCATTTGCATGCAGGTACTGTGTTATTTTGTCGAACCTGTTCCTTGCCATTATTTTTTTTAAGAAAGATCCTCCAAAAACGGCATCTTCGGACCAGTACATCTTCATTTCTGGCATGTTGATGATGGCCATGAACAAACGCATGCCGAAGTAGGTTTTTAGTTCAGCCGAATTTGTTTCTGTCCAAAGCGGGTCTGGTTGCAGGGAATTCTTCTGTCTTGCGTATAGATTTGTTTGTGTGGCAAGAATTTCAAATTTGTTTGTGTGGCAAGAATTTCAAAAATCTGCATAGGAAAAAACAGATTTAAAAAATCTATTTCTGTTTTTTCACGGCCAAGAACATTTGTTGGGCCTACAGGTTCCTTCCCGCAAAAGCTTCTTATGACAACCTTCGAAAGGTCACTGGAAAAATGTCCGTTCCTTGCTCTTTCATCATCGTCTGATTCCGACGAACTATTCTCTGATATTTGAGAAACATCGATGTCAGAAAGTTCCCCAAGCTCTTCATCAGCAAATCCAAAAAAATCCTCCTCTTCGTCACTGCTTCCAAAGATGTCGCGAACTAGGCTATCCATTGTTGACAAAGTTAAACGACTGAAATTCGTAACGGTTTTTCTCACGATTTCACTACGGGACCAAACCCATATTTTTGCATAAAAACAAAGTAAATTTATTTCTCTATTGTTTTCTTTATGTTACTGAACAATCCAAGTAGTTTAAATGAGCCAATGAGCAACAAGAAGTCAAACCGTCAAATGACGTCCGTGGGGAAATGTGCAAAAAGGCATGAGACGTCATTTGACGTTATTGGGGAGATGAGCCAAAAACTCTTTGATGCCATTTGGCGTCAACGGGACTGAATGGGTTAAAGTATGTAGACTACTTCTTTTGTTGTTTTTTACACAAATTTTACATTTAGGATCAATATGTTTTGTAAATACATTCTTTTGACGGCTGTATTTCATTTTTCTTCAAGGTGATGTTGCTGTGACCTCCTTGCTGGTATTAAGGCAAGCAACACTGCTAGTTGTTGGGTTCAACTTTGGATGTTTTCAGATTTGGAATCTCCAGTCCCTACAGCCAATGTAAGCCATATTGTAGCATTTATCCTCTGTCCTCCAAAATGTTGATCTTCTTTCCAAATATTTGAGTTCAGTGTGCATTAGTAATCAACTGGCTGTTTGTGGTGGCTCTCTTCAGGGACTATTTCATTTGGTATGACAACAACAGAGTGGAGGCTATTGTTGTTTGTTTGCAATTGGAATACTTAACACGCATTTTTCTGCTGGACACAAAAATTATAGATTTTGAAATATAAATGATTTTATTTTCCTGTATGTTGTCACTGGTAGTATGATTTTTGACACTTGTTCACTTGCTTGCTCAATTATATAAATTTTATGATCTAAAGTATCACATGTATGTCTTTGTTCTTCAAGTTTTGACTTCTCTTTGCAGAAATCTATAGTTGTTGAAAATGTTGTTTTGCTAATCTAGAGTATTTTTTAATTATAATTGTTATGCTTACACTCTCTTGATGATTGCATCAGGTGTAAAGCTCAGTTGTACAACCCAGAATCATTCTGCCTTACACATCCAAGTGTAATTTATTTGCTTACTTATTTCTCTATTAGTTATTCATTGATTTGTGTTCTAACTTCACTTCTCATACATTTACAGCTACAGCAGTCCATATAACCCTTCTGCAGCAGATGTCACACACCTTGTCTTTCAAGTAAGATTATGCTCTTAAATGATATTGGCTTAAGTTAATAAAGTCTCTTTTATGGATATTTTGAAATGAATGGTATAATATCCTTATGAACCAACAATGTTTTGGTTACTGTGGTTGAAATCTGTTCAATTGCAGTGAATGCAGCACCCATAGGGCCCTCCTGCCATATATGTATGGATTAATCTAAGATACATATATAAATATTTGTGTAAAGAGCAGAAATCTGAATTTCTCATTTGTCAGAACAGGCAGAATGAAAACAACATTGAGTGGAAATATAGCATATTGAACGGTTTATCATTTTTTGCATTCATATGATTCTTTACTTTATTTAAACAGGCTAATTTTTCTCTTTATGTGTTTTTGACTCACCCAGCATCCATCATCATGTTTATTTCTATTATCAATTATTCATTCTTTTGAAGATCTCTTATAAATACCAAAATACCTTATGCCAAACTTTTGTTTTGCCTTTAGGAACCTGAAAATGATCCCCGCCATTGCTGCTACATTCTTGTTGGCAGAAGCCCTTCAACAAACACGTAAGCCAATCGCAATAAAATTTATAGCAATGACCTTCAGCTCTTGAATGCTTTTGACTTCAATTTCCTAGTATAATCAAAACATAACTGTAACAGATAGTTTCTTCAGGATCATGAATCAACTCACCTTTTCCATTGTTTCTATAGATTGTTACCAACAACTTTAACATTATATCAGCTTGTGTTTGGATTCAAAGATATTGATCCTGAGCAAGGATTTATATACAGGGTATGTATATTTGGTAATCCCATAATGGCAATTGCTACATTTACTTTTAGGCCATTCTCATTTCATTTTCAAATTCTTTAAGAACAGTTGCCCTTGAGCAAAGAAGCTGATCTTCAAGAAGCCCACCATCTACATTAAATACACACTTACTTAATCCAAAAATATTGTGAAAAATATTTTCAGTCACAATAAAAGTAGCGTATGCAATAGTATCCAAATAAACTGGAATGTCCATTTGACATTAAAGATTGAAATTAAAATCATTAGATTTATAAAGATCCTCAGGGAGGGTGCTTTTTAACAGTTGGCTGTGAGACTTTTCCAAATTTGCTTACCTCTGAACAAAAAACATTCTGAACCATTATGGTACTTTTTTGGCAACTTTAGAACGTTATACATTTAAAATTATAGCTGAATAGAAGAAGAGCTGCATGTCTGTTTGTAACCATATAAAGACATATAAAGACATGTTTTACAGGTTAACCATACAAATTGATATCTGCTCTTCTTTATATAGGAGCTTGAAGGTGTTTGCGAGCGTTTCGAACATCAGCTCACATCGGATTCAAATCATTTGGTTGACTCGGGGTCCATCGGCAGCAGAATCATAGCGTGCTCAAATCTAGGTAAGGAGCCACGAAAGTAGTCCCAGGTGGGAGACCGGCAGCTCTTTTAGTAGCCTGCAATATGGCCTGTGGTCTTCCAAAAGGGAACTCTGGGGACAGGGGTGGACATTTCCAGTAAAAATTTGGTTGCCCGGCGGTTACCTTGTGTAACGATAAACGGTCTCCCACAAACAAAAATCGGTTGTCCCGGGTGGGTGAGGACCAAATTGTCTGCTCCTGAGCTGCTATTCAGTGAGCGTTGTCTCAAGCAGTCGATGTTGTTACAGCGGCGCCACGTCAACCTTCCCCCTCCCACCCAGTTCTCGGCAGGAACGATTTTGCGTTTGCTCTAAATGTGGCGAGAAAAGGTTAGGGGAGGAATGATTTTTTTGGCAACATATGCTTTGAGATGTAATTCTATGATTATGGGACAGGCTTTACGTAACCGAAAATGATTTATTGCTTTTCCCTAAAAGTTAAATTAAACAGGAAAAGAACTAGGGCCAATTTTTTTTATTTTGCCGCTGTCCCGCCCCGCTCAGAGTCTGGTAGCTTGCGCCCCCGCTGGTTATAGTGGCTCCTTAGTCAGCAATCTTGGAAAAAACTTTCTTCAAATTTCAGCAATGATTGCGTTGGTGTTCCTTGTTGGGGCTATTTTCTATCGATTTTTGTACATTTGAATTATATATTTTTTAAACTTTGGCCTTCAGAGTTTTGCTTCAAAATCGCTTATTGAATGACGCAATGTTTTGATTTTAGCAAGAGATGCCAAGCAGTATCGACTTGATCACAGCACTGGAGGGGCTTCAGAGGGTGAATGTAAGGGTTTAATTTCTGGCAGAATTGCTCAATGCTCATGAAAAATGTTATCGTTGATAAATTTGCATTCATCCAGATTAACTCTATCCTCGGAAATTTGGAATTAAGGATTGTTTACGATTGCTGAAAATTTGATAAAGAAATTCGCTTTCATTTATTGTTAACCCGCTGGTAATGAACCTATCTATGTCTTCACTTATACTGATGTTTGATAAGTATCAACACTAAAACTCTGAAATTATAAGCCTTTGTTCTTGTATCTTTACATTACAAACATATTTTACTGAAAATTTCCCTTCGTATAAAAAAATATGGTATATATCATTTAGAAGTTATTAACTCTTTAAGAAGTTATAACTCTCAGTTCTTTTGAACAGGTCAGCATCTAGATACGACGCTGTCATACATCGTCTGGGAATCCCCACCCGAAGACAAGTCGCACCCTTCCTATCATTTAGGCCTATTCGATATTAACAAGTGGTATCACCTCCAAATGCCTGAATCTGTGAGGTAGTTATGCAATTTTGTAGAAATTTGTAATTTCTTTGACAAATCTATTTTAAAAAGCATGTCTTCATGTTTGAATCGTCTAAAAGGCTTTAGCATGAAAACATTCAAGCAGGGTGACTGTTTTTGATGGAATCGTTCTCATAAAACACCGAGACACAGAGCTCCAGAACTGGGAGTCAACAGAGCTGAAAACTCGCCCCTGGTTAAGATTCTCATGTGCATGCAAGCCAAATTTTTAACAATTATTAAATCTCAACTTGAATCCAAAATCTTCTATGGTCTTTACTTTGCCAAACAATTTTGTCATTATTTGAATTGATAAAAATGATAGAACTGCCTTGCAATGAATATTTTTAACTTACTGAAACCAGCATTTTGGAATGTATCATTTTACAACATGATTCTTCAAACACATGCATTTTATTCAATCTTTGTATGTTTTCTTTTTTCAAAGGGATGCGATGTACGGAAGAATGGACCCTGTTTGTCCCTTTTTCGCGTTCTATTTACTAGAAGAAGTTGCTGAGGTGATTCGTCCCGATATGCTTGTTGTAAGTATAACCATATCTTTGCTCGAGTTTATTCAAAATCAGTTTTGCTACCCTTAGTTTTCTCCCTATAAAATTCTTTCAACGTACCTCTGACCTCCGCATTAATTGTCTTTGTCAGGCAATTAACTAATTGTAGAAGTTTTAGCTACTATTCATTTGCTTGTGTTTATTGCTATTAATTCTCGGCATGTTGCTGTGTTCCCTCTTCTCTCCATTTTTTTCACTTTTCGTCGCAAGCATGCCATTGAGTCCGCCGAGCAGCCTGCTACCGTTGGCCTTTCCTTGATTTACCAACTGACTAACTGAATCTATTGTCTGGTTTTTCAGGATTGTTACATAAATCCAAAAGATTTGAGCTCCTTCAAATGTCCCATTTATCCATCTTTGGATCAAAACTTTTGGCCGTCATCTTTGGCTTTCAGTAAGTTACTAGCTGATTGACATTAGCAATGTTTTGACGCATACCATTTTTACACATTTATGCATTTCGACTGAACTTAGCATACTTCAAACTTTGTATTGCTTTAATGTCTCCAATAAATTTTCTTCATAGCTCTCGGGAGTAAGATCTTCTTTCATCGTTTTATGAAAGGGTGCTTTTTGCCTCTTATGCCTTTAATGCCGCCAATGGAGGCCGAGCAGGGGCGGATCCCACGCAAACTTGAAGGAGGGGCAGTTGGTAGTGGGGGTGCTGAAAAATTGATGACGAGAGAACGGTGTATAGAGCAATTTCAGGTCCATTTTCGGAATAAACAACATCACTTTGAAGTAATACTTGAAGCAAATTGACCTATCGGTCTCAGATACTTTTTCACCTGATTCATATTCCTCAAAGGGGGCGCACAATTTCCAAAAAGGGGTGCCATACTTGCTTCAAGTCGTCGAGGGAGGGGCAACTGCCCTTAAATGCCGCTAATGGAAGCCGAGGAACCCCTCTAAGCCCTTTAAAGGGTGAGACAGCCGGGGCCGCCCTACATCGTCATCTTGACACTTCCATATTAGAAAACTGTTTTTCTCTAAGAAAATTGTGCGAGGTTTGTGTCCAGGTTACTCCTTTGGGGTCATTGTCGTATTTTTGTGTGAATAATGTGTTTTATTTTATTCCTAAAATTTGAGTTGACACATTTTTTTGCTTTAAAGAATGTACCTGTCTTGCTGAGAGGGGGATTGTAAAAACGGAGATGCTTGGATTGCAAAGACAGGTGAATTTATAGTTTCCTATTTTGTTTTTTTGCATTATTTATCGTTGAATGGCAAAAAAACAACTTTATGATATTCAAAGTATGCTAGTATTTATAGCGTTCAAGAACGTGAAGGCTTGCGTGAGAAAGGAATCGGTAGAGGGATTAGAGAAGTGATCAGAAATACGTTGTATTTTCAGTTTATCTTCTTTTATTATGGAGTTAGTGTCAAGTGTCTAAGTTTGACTATGTAGCGTAAGAAGACAACAAAAACAGCAGGGTAACATGAAGTAGTTGAAAACGTGTTGCAATTTCTTAAGATTTTGTTGATTCTGAAGGCAAATGAAGTACATTGACAAACGGACAAGTTTATCAGTGTTCCGGTCGATAAACCGGGCTAGTGAAAGATCGACACAGTGGGGAGTCCATAGCTCTCTCGTAAATCTCGAGAACCATTCTAAACTACCTTGCTAGCGTACATGGACAAGATATTCTTTCTTGATGTTTAGGGTATCTGGCGCCATAGCAGCTAATATGAGTCGTCCCTTGAAATGTTGCAACTCTTACGTCAGCTGTAGAAAAGAGCCTGAAATATCAACCTATTTTCAAGAATAGTCTTTATATGAAACAAAGGCTGCTTAGACATTAAATGGAAGTGCACACAAGCAGTTGTAATACCGTAAATCTTTTATCAGCTGCATTTTGAGCTTATTATTTCTCTTGTCGCAGAATGTTCACGTATATTTTTCTCTGTTATGAAGTTTCGTATTATTTTGAACTTGTGGTTTACGTCAGTTCATCTATAGTGTGAGGAAGTTACCATGTTATATATAAAATGGCCTATTATGTTATGATAATTTTAATCTGGAATTTAGAGGAATTTTACTAAACCAACATCTGAGCATCTATTGTTTGTTTATTTTAAGATCCTGGCAGATTTGGTTTCTAAAGGCAGCGACATATTTACGGAGCATTATGATTTGACAAGTTTATGTTGGTCCACTGGTCTCATCTCAAAAATCAACGATTTGCCTTCAAGATCTGACGATCCACAGGTACAGAACTGGTCAAAATAAATATCCTTTTCCTGACTTTGTATTACTTTAATGCGTCTTTTCTTCCAAATGAAACATTTTGCTAAATTTTCTTTTATTTCAAACTAAAAGTAACGGACCATTACTCTGACTGCGCAATAACGGACCTTTGAAAATATTTGACCAGCGGTCACAGATAGTATGCGCTGTCAGTTGCCCAAAAGCTGAACGCTGTCAGAAATAGTCAGAAATAGTTAGTTAGCCCAGTTAATGGATTCATCTTCCTGTTGCCTTGATGGCTTGATTTCATTTTTGTGTCGACAATACTGTTCGTAGATACTGTTGAAGGGTAGCGGGTGGGTAAAATTCACTTTTATTGGAAATGCGAAGATCATATGTTGCCGCGGCCAACTAATACGTTGAAATTAAAATTTATGCATATGTTTTAAGGGGAGATGAGGTAGGCGAAGGGTTCCCAAACAAAGAAATAGTTTTACACTTGTGAAAAATATGAAATAAGAACCACTCGTAAATGCACCTGCTTTTAAGATGAAGGTTTGAGAATTTGACATAATTTTAAAACAATGTCTATCCCGTACAGGTTAAATTCGAATGCCTGATGTCTATTGCCATCGAACACAATGTCATGAGTTTCATAATGGGTTGCCTGCGGGACTGGAGCAGAGGAGGTCAGTATTCTTAATCAGTTTAACCAGCATTTCTTTCTTGTCAATCCAATGATTTAAGGAAATAATTTTGTTATATTGGGCTCTTTTCTAGCCATCACTTTGCATAGAGTTTGAAAAAAAACAAGAAAACATCACTTTTTGATGTTTTTTAGTCATAACATTCGCAAAAATTGTAGTTTATTGTCAATGAAAATCCTTGGCAAACGTTCCATGCACACAAACATATTTCAAACTTGTTTGGGATCCAAAGCTAAAAGATCATTTTATGGTTTTAATCAACATATCCCTTTCTTAGGGTGCCAAATTTTTCTGGGGGATGTTTTTGCAAATCAGTTCATATAAAGATGACAATTTTGATTTCGATATGCGGCATTTAAGTGTAATGATTATGTGTAAGAAACATCCCTTGGAGACTCACAAAACAGGCTTGTAGAGATGAATAACGTAGTTTGGTTTTTCTTTCGATTTATATATATTAATCGCTACGTGTACACAAATTGTGCACCGTACCCTGGACAAAACAAAGCACGGGTTTCTAAAAACACATCTATTTTTATCACTACAGTTGCCTGCTGATCGCATTAAGCACTTAACTTGGAATAGCAACTTAGAAACTTCTTGTTCTTTACACCTTCGTCTATCCATATTATTATACAGTGAAATCCCGATATAACGAATTCTGAAGGGAACCAGCAAATAGTTCGTTATATCGGGAGTTCGTTAAACCGAGAGAAAACTTTTTTAGGTCTTTTGGCAGTTGACACCTAAAAAACCTGCGATGGGCTTTTGGCAGATCTCTAACATAAACGTCTATCCATATTATTTTATAAAAAAAGAAGAATAAACCTAATACCATATAAAATACACTAAAATTTGTTGGTTGTTCTCCGAAGCAATTCCTTCTAATTGGAAATGCTGAAAAATAGATTTCTACTTGCCTTTTCAACATCGTTAATTTGTTTATCTAAAATGCTCCTCCACAGAAATAACAAACGCTGGAAGCTGCCTGAGGTCAATGCTACAATGGGTTTGGAAACGGGTGATAAAGGCTAAGAGCACTCTTGATGAACACTGTGAGATTTTTCTACTTTCATATTTTTATAATATTTGATAGGTCAAATTCAGCTAATCACTTCTACTGCCAACGCCTGAAAGTTTGAGAACTCAAGGAAAAGCGAAATTCGCATGGATTATCGAAGTTATGATTTCGAGAGGCTGAAACGAGGAATGGCCTAAAAAGGTCTTGAGAGATGGCCAGAACAGTAACAGTTGGGAAGGGAATTTATATTTGTTTGAAGAAAAAAACATTTGAATCGTAAGACTATTGGGTTTTTATTGTTATAAATGATGGATTTTAGTGTTCGTTATTTGAAAGAATGTCGTTAAATTCAAGTTGTTAGACGATGAGCTTAAATTTTATGTAAGTCGAATTAAATCGTTTGACACTAAGCAATGTAAATATTTTTGTCAAGACACCAATGTATTAACTCTTGTTTCCCTCTCCAACAGATATTGCTCTGTTTTATTCTGAAAAGTCGAAAGTGGATTCTGAAATCGTTCAACAGCTAAGCAACTGTACAGATGAACTCAAAAGACTGGTGCAGATTTTGACGGCGCTGAGGGAAACTCCTGTGAAAATTACTGATGAGGGTTTGTTGGCTTTGTTTATTCTGGAAGGTTTCAACCTTATTGACAAAAGTGAAACCCTTCTTGTTACAGATGTTTATAATTTCTGGTGACTCATGGGAAATCCTTGGCTCTCAATACAGTTATTTCAATGCACTGTACGTTCGATTCAAACAATTTCTGGTTCAATGAGTCAGGAATGTGTTGCATTTGGCAAGAAAATTCTTCTTAACTAGATACAACGATAAAATCCAGACATATTTAAAATCTGAATGTTTACAAGTATTTTGCGCCTCGCTCTTGCGATTTTATTCTTTGTTATCATTTTCATTTTGACTTAAAAAAATTGCCCATATTCTATATCAATGAACGCTTTAGCCTTAACCTCAAAAGTTTTGAAATTTGCAGAATTTATGATGTTGATTTTTAAATGGTGATAGATTTTTTCGTGACTGCAATGGACCCTGGTGTGACGTAACTCTGTTTTGTAGGTTCTGCGAGTATCGCGGTAAAGCTGACTGTCACAACATGCATTCATCGCTACGCCGAAGCTATCATGTTTTTCCTTCGCTCGGGAATATTGCCCGAATCAAAAGGTAAATAAATAGTTGCACCTTTTCTTCCAATTCACGCTTGTAACCATCGTTTGAGTTCCAACAGTATTCGACTTTCCAGCTTTAAAATTAAGTGACCATGGTAAATTTGACAGTCATGTTTGTTTTCCTTTAACGTGGTTTTGAAACTAGAACATTTAAAAACCCGTTGTGAAGCCAGAGAATATAAAAGCTCGATGGGCTGTTGACGTATACATAATAAGGAATATATTTGGTAAAATAACTGAAATATCGAATGTATACATTTGAATGCTTCCACCTATGCTTACGCTATTATTGTAAAAGGTACACACTGGCATGGGCGCTGTATCACCATCATCCAACATAATAATTCGAATTGCATGAACATTTCTTAGGTTTATTTAGTACGCCCATATTCACATTAAATAGAGACTTACTGCCTTTTAGTAGTAAACTCATTTCTTTGATTCAATAACAATTATTATTTCTTTAAATAATTGTAGATATATAGGATTTCATATCTGTCATTTGCTAATATTTTTCTTATTCATAGAGAGCAAGCAGCTCAATTTCAAAAGGTAACGAATTTGTTTTAATCATTTCCTTGTTGTGGAAATTACAAAGTGTGATTTAGGCTGTTTTAAGATCCTCCTTGGTTGCTAGAAATAGGTCGAGGAGTCGTCTTAGACTGAAAAACGAACGATTCATACTTTTATATTTTTGATGTCCATGTCGCTGATGGAAAAATTTCTTATTGACCAAATTTCGATTGCCTTTATCCGAGCATCATCCCCTTAAACTGACTGCGATTGCCAGTTCATATAAAGGTGAACGTTTTCATCTTAGTTGGACCTCAATACAGTGACGATGCATGAGGCCAGAGTTACTGTCCGTCCGTCTATGATTTTGTTCTTTATTCAAAGGACACTTTACCATCTTTATTTAAAATTTTAAGACAAAATTGTTTGTTTTTGTTTATGTTAATGGAAAGTGTTGTTTATGTCGATAGAGGTTTCAACTGTAAGCACACACAATGCTCCCGCTTTTTTGATATCATACCAAGGTTTTGAGTTACGTCAAGACCTTCCTGATTGTCTCTGATCTGTTGCATTTGACTTCTGCATTCAATGACCAACGGCATCTGCTAAGTAATCTGAAGCCCAGTACTGCATGAAATATTTTTGCACCCAAGGCCGTCGAGAGGCAGCTCGGGCCAAGGAGTGATTTACAAAGCTGGACCCCCCTGGAAAAATTTCCTGTGGCCCCGCCCTTCAGTCTCCCAGAAAACAAGGGAAATGCTCTTTTTAGGTACAATTGTTGAAAAGGTTTCTAAGGATTCTTACAAGAATGTGCAAAAGCACTTTACATGAATCAAGGACATTTGGAAATTTCCCTGCGGTAAATTTAGAGGCGTCGAATCTGTATAAGTAGCTGAAATAGCTTTTTTGCATTGTAAATAGATCATGTTACTTTATTACGGGCCCCATCGGAGCACAGACCCCATCAGAGCACGGTCCCCATCGGAGCATGGGCCCCGGACCTTCTGCCCCTCCCAACCCCCCCTCTCGACGCCCCTGTTTGCACCTGGTATACATTTTAATGACCAAGTTATATCTGCCAAAAAATCTATGCGGTATTTTGTTGCCCACAGCTCTTTTACCTTAACAACTTTTTTATTCATTGTTTGTAATATATCTTTTGATAAATATTTTGGTCATCTCTTTTAGTATCGAGGACATTGATGACAATCATTTGTTTGTCCATGGTTATTGCAAAACAATCGAACGAAAGATTTTAGAGAACAATAGCGATGATGATTTTGGATGGGATGGAAAATACCCTCCTCCTTCGGCCAACGTAAATTCCAATTTTACATTATTTCTGATTTCGTTTCTTAATATTACGTCCTTGATTCTTCTTAAGTTGTTTCGTGTTATCCTATATTCACCTAATTGCTAGAAATTAAATAGTTGATGTTTAAATTCTGGTCTATTTTTCAACAGACTGTGTGCAAGTGTCTCCTCCTTGACGTCCCAAGAGATGATGTAATGAATTTCGTATCTTTCAGTCGATCATTCCTCGAATGTGCACTTTTTATTTATTTTATTTATTAAATTCTTATTTCAACACGATATCCCATGAAAAACCCAAGTACAAGTTATGATAAGTTAAAAAACTAATAATGGAAGACAAAAATTTAAATAAATTGTTTAATAATATGAGTGAATTGAATTTGACGTCTGATCTTCCTGGGAGTCCTGTTTTCATTCGGGTTTCCTGAGCTCTTCAAATGAGCTTTTAATCTTCGTTTGAATTGATAAAGCGAGGGGATCTCCCTTAGTTCTATGGGTATTTCGTTCCAAGCTTTAAGCCCAGAGAGGCGGAATCCTTTTTTGTACTCTCCAGCTTAAATTTTGGGATGTCGAGATTTCTATTGTTTTTTGCGCTATAACTAGAAATTTCAATCCTCTGATTATACTTGTTCCAGAGGCTCTCAGGGCACTAACTATTTTGTGTGTCACGATAGATCTATCAAAAGAGATGATCTGATCAACACTTGATTTCATTGCAGACATTTGGCAATTGGAATTGTTTCCGTAAGGTTTTCTGTATGTTGCGACGTTGTTTTATACGCTCGTTCACACTGATACCCTGTAAAGTGAACCAACAGTCTGTTGCCTTTACATTATCAGTGCGACCCTATGCTTTAAATCAACTGTAAATTTTACTGTTAATGTTTGAAAGTTTGATGCATGTTAATTTTACCACTAAATGAGTTTAGATTTTGCCTTAACTCGACCAAGCTGTACTACTGGATTTTAGATGCAGAAGATTATCTTGGTATAGAAAAGGTAAGAATTTTGTAACAAATAGGCCATAAAGACGATACATTGCTTTTTGTGGTTGATTAAAAACGTCACTTCAATTTACCCTAATTTTGGTGGCTCTTTCCCTTCTATCGGCCTTTGTTTGGTGGTCAAAAACCTTACGTGGGTGTATTTCCACCATTGACTTCAGTTTTGCAGTATTTCATTATGTTGACCTGACAACATGGTCGGCCCGAGGACAGATCCTTGTGGTACAAAAAAAAATATAAGGATCGCCAAGCTTATTCTGCCTCAAACCATGCTTAGTATATATAGATTCTTACCAAACTAATTCTGTAGCTTGCTTTGCTCTACCGTAATACTTTTTACCTATACGATAAGAATCGATTGCAGAAAACATTAAGCTTCAACAGCTGTGTGCCGGAGGAAGGTTATTCAAGATGCAATAGATCTGAGGAATGCCCATGCAGAACTACTAAAAAATTTTCTTTCAATAGCATTTCTAAGAAAAAAAAATTTCAAAAGATACATGGAAAATGTTGAGGAGGGCAAATAGATCAAAATTTCAACCGGAAAATTTCCCTCTTCATCTGTTATGAGACAGTACCTTATCTTTGTATCATGTCACTTACAACCGGATAAATTGTTTGAATATTGATAAATTCATGTTTTAAAGAACATCTGAAGAGACGATGGCTGTATTAAATGTTTTAGGAAATTACTTTGAGCGCTGTTTTCGACCACGAAGTTGTTGCTCACAATGCCCATGATACGAACAACTTCAAGAATAAATGGACTGGCTATGATAAAAGAAATTCTATTTTTCAGCTTGCCGAAAATGCATCTTTTTCCTTTGATATGCCCAAGACAAAGAAAATGGTCGTCGAAGCATTTTGGGAAATTGATCATAAACTTCTTGAGGTAAATTTGAAATTTAATACAAATACTTGCCTCTTTATATAATCGATCAAATAGCGACAAAACCAGGATAAGAATACAACGGTTTAATAATACGTGCTTGATTTAACGTGAGCTGTAGAGAAAGCTTTACTTGCAGCAAAAAGTGCTGCATTTTTAAGTTCAAATAATGCTTACTGAGATGAATACCAGTACTCTTTAGTGATTCAGTTGTTGACTTATATCATCATCATTCATATATAACTTGTTTTCTATATATCACATATATTATGTTTAATTTTATATTTCTTTGTGTTTCAGAGTGGTGTTGAGAAATTGGTTGAGTTCGGGCCGGAATCATTACCTATGGCTATGAACGCTGTTTACCACCACGGTGAGTAAGAATTGAAATTTTTGTCGTAGATTCCTGAAATAGAGTCTTTGCGTTTTGAATTTTTTTTTATTCCCTATAATATGTAACTTTTGACCAGCCATGAAGTTGTTGAAAATTAACGTAAACGTTGAGGTAAATATTAGATTAAAATTGAGCTGAGATTCATTCAGGAATATGACCTTTTCAACTAATAGTTTTTCATACTGGATGTTTTGTCTTATTATTTTCACTGGTAATATGCCTTTTTGGCACGCCTCGGTGTCCAAACTTTCTTCTTTTATTTGAGTTTGACACGGCATACCCCATTAATGACGCAGCTCCTTTCAACCAAATCTACTATCATCTTGTTGCTGGATGACGTCCTTAAAATGGCGTCAGTTGATGTACCCAAGTAAAGATTCTCAAAGAAATTTCTCTTTCTTTAACAGGCAATAAATCTCTTGCCTGCAGTATCTACAAAGCCAAGGAAATGCTCTCTCCCGGGGACATGGATTGGAAATTATGCATAAGAATTCTCGTCGAACAAAAGTATTTTTCATTTGCCTTCTATTTCTCTTTATGCGTAATGCTTGGAAATTACTTCTGTGTCTTTATTAGTCTTCCAGCTGGAAATAGATAAGTTTTGGAAATCCCTTTCAGACAAACATTCCTTTTTCCATGTCTTATAACAAAGTCCTTTTAAATTTTATTCAAAGCATTAACAGGTATATTTCCAACCTTTTCTAGTCCAGTGTCAGAATATGATGAGAGATTGAACAACAGGGTTATTCCCGCATTTCTATTCATTATGTCATTATGATTTCAAGGGAAAGAACGGTTTTATCCAAAAGCCCCTTTTTGAATTTGTGGAGTAAAAGCTGTGTAATAAATCGAAGAACTCCGGCCACGAAATTCGAAAGCTTTTTATGTCTTCTAATGCAGAGTTTTTATTAATTTATAAACGCTTTGAAAAGGACAGTGGCATTGTATTCCAAGAAAACTCGAACAATCACAAACAATTAAGTTGATAATGCAGAAGGATAAAGAAGATAGACGAGTTATTAAATGTTATGTTTTCTTAGAATTTTTTTCTCGTTATCGTTGACATCTTACTTTATTCTTTTCAGTGCCATTTATGAAGCTTATAATCTGCAGGTAAATTTTTCCACCATGTTGTTAAAAATTTTCAATAAAGTTTCTTCATAAAGTTACTTTAAACAATCATCAAGTGTATCCACCTGATGATTGTTTACACATGAAACTCAGAGCTGTGTCACAATGGTCTGTTCATTTTAGTCTATCTAATTGCTTTGATAAGTTGAGCACTCTAGACAGCAATATGATAATTACTATAATATATAAATCTATATAAATATAAATAATACCTATCTTCACCTTGAAATTAGTCTTGCATGTCAACTTTTCAGAATCTTATAAAAAACGTGTAAACTATTTACTACTGATTTTGTTTGTGTTTCAGGGGAAATATCGTGATAGTGAAATTGGTTTTGAGTTATTTCATTACTTTCTGGATGAGTGTATGCATAGTAAGTTCTTCGTTTAATTAAAAGCTTTTCAAAGTTCGTCCAATTTATTCAATAGAGGTGGAAAAACCATTTGTGTTAAATTGCAGAACGATTTTCTTCATTTACGGCACTTAAAAGGGAGAGTTTCCTTGACTAAGCGAGTTTAGATTCGAGAAATAGATTAGAAATTAGAGATTGGCTTGACGGTCTTCTGAAGCGTCCGGAAATTTCTTCCTGGTTCTTATTATTTATATTGTTACTCAATAGATGGTGTGATGGCAAAGCTGTTTGATTTACATTTAACGGAAGAAGATGAGGTAAATTTAATGTTACGATTAGCCGAAGTGGTCGAGGCGCTTAGCTTTTCTTGACTTGAATTAGATTCTCAAACATATTTTTATTACATAGAGCATGCCAAGCAAAAAATGTAGATTTTGGATGAGTTTAACTAGGGTATTTGGTTTCCTCCATATTTGGACCTATCAGTGCCTCTCGCGCTTTTTTTCTGTCTTATGGCATTTTTGTCCGCACCCGGACATGAATTTTCCTGCTCAACTTTTTGCAATTTTCTAAGATTTTTATTCGGGTATTTTAGTTCGCTTTTGATACTTTGCAATATAAACCTATCTAATATGACAACTTTTTCTCGAATTCAATGCAAACTGTGCCGGAGGGTATGTTTATGTTTGTGTCTAAATTTCAGTTTGTCTATCGTCAGCATACCTTCTTTTTTCAATTCTTGGGTCTTTTTTCTTCTGTTCAGGAATGGCTGTGTCAGTTTTTGCAAGAACATGAAGATCCTATCTCAAAAGAACTTTTGATAATGTTCTGCATAAAAAGGCATCGCTATGCAGAGGCGATTCGACTCGGGGCGGATTTTGAGAAAAGTCGACAGGTTTGCAGTTAATGAATAATCATGAATCGTTAAGAAGTTTTTTATATTATTTTGTTTGCCACTATTTGCATCATAACTGTCTCAGCAAGCATGCAGTCTTTTAGACAGTTAGTCACCTGCAATGCATTTAATGTATTACTGAATATGCTGAAGCTCGGGGCAAGCCCGGGACAAGTTTGGGGTAAGCTGGGACATGTTTGGGGTAAGCTGGGACAAGCTCGAGACAAGCTCGAGACAAGCCCGGGGTGGTTTCTAAAACCCGTGAGGAAAACGATCGAAGTTCTCACGTCTCACTTGACAGTTTGATTGTTTCATTCGTAATTTCAATCATGTTCCATTTGCATTTTGTGTGACCTAGAAAATCAAAACATATCGCTCCCGGGCCACTGAAATTTAAATTGTTAAAGTTAAGAAAGGTTAATTTTCAGACAAAGTTGTAATTTTTATACTCGGGTATATAAAGTTATAACTTTTGATAGTGTTTTTCAATGCTTTGCTTCAGCTTTTGAGAACTTTCAGTTTTACGTCAGGATCATTCTAAGCTACAATTTTACAATTAGAGATACTTGATACTTGATATGTACGTTGTTTGTACTTGCGGCTAAAATTCTTTGATTACACAGGAAAACAATGATTGAATAAGGTTTAAAGCCATGAAATGCAAACCCCCTTCGTTATTGCTGATGAAGCGCTATGCCTTAGAGTTCTTGTCCTAACATTGGTGACAACAAATTTTATTTAATCAACGTCTTTGAACTTGATTTTAGTTCGTAATTAATCTGTTATCAGTCTTCTTTTCATAAGAATAAGATATTCAGTATCTCTGTGTTTATTGTATTTTGACATTTGTGTCCTTTCTTCGAAGTTGAATGAGAAGAGCTCTTTATTTGGAGACATCCCCTCAAGACGAGCCATCCTCCATATGAGCGATCAGATTATCTTACCCATGCAAAGAAAGCTGTTGCATTACCCCATTGCGACTGTGAATAAAGGGACTCTGTCAATCAGAGAAGGTTTGTTAATGTAGTTCATTGCCTGTTCAGTTACATCTGTGAGTAGAAAAACTGTTGAATAAGATAAATCAAGTTTATTTTCTACTGCAATGGAGGAAAGCCAGAGATCCTCATTTTGCTGCAACCACTAACGCTGATCATTGTCAATGTCTGAGCAGTGCAACCTTATTTTCTTTGTAGTACCTCGACCACAGCCTCTCTCTGCTTCGATAGTCAAACGAGGTCCTGTCACTATCGCGTCTCGATCTGATACAATCTTCAAAATTCTCCATTCAGTCGAAGAAAGTAGGTAAGTGATGGCTTGTGATGAAATATTTCTTTACCATAGCTTTTTGTTGTATCGGCAAAATGCGTAGCTACCACCAATCTCATCCAACCTTTTTGGCGCTCTTCTCGGCTTGGGGTTGAGGGTAATCTACCCTTTTGTGGTCCTGGATGATGATGACTTTGCATTTATGAATAATGTCTGCCTAGATACGTACGAGTAGGATTTGTAGCAGTGTTTGAAATAATCAAGCAATTTTGCGAGGGAACAGTTTGATCCATGTAACAATGCATGTCCGAATTCCAATTTGGCTTCAAGCGTTCCATCATCTATATGTTTGAAAGAACACCATCAGGATTCTTGTAGAATTTGCACCTTTCTTGAAGCCAGACCCTAAAAAGCAGACATATATACAAAAGGAAGATACACAAGATAGACTGTCCGCCGGATTGCGTGAATCTTGCAATTAATGTTGATAGAAGGTAATAGACAACAACAAAGCAATTGAATCCTAACCCCGTAAACCTTTTTCCACATTAGTCTCTTTAACTCTTTTACAGATGTTATTGCAGTAACTATTGCTTGAATAGCTGTGACAGTAAGCGAAGTGTGACTTAACTTAACAGTACAGGCATATTTGGGCCTAAATCTTATTTGACTGTAACGTCAGTGTAACGATAAATGCGACGAAAATACGCGGTGTCCACTGTGGTAATATATTTTCCAAAAATATTTTTTCAGACTCACACCTCAAAAAGTGACATCACAAGAATCATTCAACCTGCCATTTGTACGTAGTGCCAGCAAGCCTTTGTCTACAAGGAGAAAAAGGTAAAACATTGACAGAATCAACTCCTTTTTCATCTTTAAAGTACATAGCTTTGCACGTTATTGACTCCTGACCATGCTTAAGCTACTTTCAAGTAAATCATATAAATGTATTGCTGTTGGACCAGGAACCTGGAGATAAGGTTTGAATAGAAACGTCGATGTGTATTTGTGTAACAAATTTATAGATAAACTTTGCTTAGAAATTGCATGTTTCGAATAGAAATAAAACTTAACAAGGCACAAGAACCGTTCCAAAAGAATCTTAAATCAATGTACTGTGGCTAGGTTTATAAATATATACCCAAAACTGGGTGTTACTAAAGTTGTGTACAAGAAATGTCTGAAAATTGGGGAATGATAGGGACACATTGTAATGCGAGGCATGCAACCCACGAGGACAATACTAGAGAACAATTTACATTTTACTTCTAATTATTCACAAAATAATTAACTCTTAACAATCTTCCAAGATATCAACAAAGCAAATAAGAGTGTAAATAGATTAAAATTTGTTTTCAAATACACCATAATGTATGTGATTTCATTTTCGTTAAGTTCGAAAGTCTAGACAAATTGGAAGTAATAAAGACAAAACATGATTGAGCTTTAGTTAGCTGTAAAATTCAGAGATAGCAAACTGCAAAATGTAGCTGATATTTTGATGAAGTATGAAACAATGTGAAGCGGGTGACGTTTTGTGCTTTCTTATTCAATAGACGAGATTACAGCCTTGTGCGTCCTGAAGCCAAAGTGAATGCTGCTACGACTGGAAGAAAGGTCAGTTGTTTAGCGCTACATTTAGATTATAATGCCTTACCTTATAATGATTACTTTTTGGCAATCAACGTTTTGCTAGCATGAAAACATGGAACACGGAATGGTAGAGTGTTGACAATTTTTCTATACGTTTTCAAACATAGACCCTTTTAGTCATTGTTTTGAGACTAATAAACAGAAAACTGCTCCTATTCACTCCACCACTTAATGTTTTTGAGACAACTTTCCAGTGTCCAATGTGTCCTTCCAGTACTATACTTACAATCTATATAACCTATAATATATGTAGGCCAATAATGATTGACAGATGACCTAAGCCACTTTAGTATCTATCGATTGCTTTAAAGTAAGCCACGGCAGTTTTGCTTTATAAACATCGATTTTTGCTTTTTCAGTCCATCATAAAACCTGTTATTCCTGACACCAGTAAGAGTGACGTACCGATAAAACGAAGGTAAGACACCCTCGTCCATTTTGTGATGCCTACCAAAAACCTCACCGTGTTTATCAGCCTTTTACCTATCCATTATATTAACAAAAGTTACGTTTTTCTCTATACAACATCTTTCAATTCTTTCTAGTTTTCGATTTTCCAAACTTCTAAAAATGCCAATCAATGTATTTTTCTCTATCTACACTAATTATTTGATAATCTCGCGTTTTGCTTCGTTTTGCTGCGTGTCGCTTCGTTTGCTGCGTTTAAAGAGAACTTGTCTCAATATATTCTCTGTGTTACGCAATTGCTACAGGGTTCTCCCAAAGACCATTCCAGGTAAAGCAGAATATTGCATTCCCTGTTTTCTTGAATTTAAATAGACTGAAATTTCTAATTCATTTGGTGTTGTTTTGACCCAACAGGAAGCATTTATTCTACGGGGCTGAGGCCATGAAGCTGCTACAAACGCCTCCTGTTATCAAGGTATGACGTTTTCAACAAGCAATGTCTTGTGCTGAAGCACTTCTCGTTTTTAGTCATCCAAAACATCAAACATTGATTCACGAGGCTCGCACAGAGTCTGGGAGATATGGAACACCCTCTGGAAAACTTGGAAAATAACTGGTTATAGAACCTTGTCAAGGAAATTTTGAAAATTTAAGGGATTTTGTGTTGAATTCGTCTGAGTTAGAAAGGAGTCTATGAATGGTTACCCTGCCCCGGACAGTTTAATTGAGGGTTAACAGTCACGAATTCGCTTGCCACATATGCCTAAGGGTACAAACGAACGAGCACAGCACGCTATACATCATGATATTGGTTTTCACCATGGTTCCAAATATACAGAGGACATTCATGTGTTCTTTCGCTCTCTTGCTTTTCGTTACAGTACCTGATACGTGAAGTAATTCAACACCTTATAATAACATTTCTAAAACTTGTGGAAAGTGCAAGTTTGTTTCGATTTTTAAAAAATGTTTATTTATGTTGCTGTTTTTTGTAGGATCCGCTACAGTTGAAGCAAATTAGAAGCCATCAAACTCCTGCATCGATACTAAAAGTAACATTTTTTCCAAAAATACTTAAACCAATGTATAAAGATATGTTTTAGTACTATGTGTAGACCTTAGCTGAGAATGTTGAAATGGCCTGCAATGTATTTTTTTTAAAGAATAATTTATTGTGTTGGCGAAAATTTATCTCATTATGACCATAAACCTATATTGGAATTAAACTTGCAAGAGAAACGATAATGAAAAGTATTCTTTTCTTTCATTTCAAGCCCTCAAACAAAAAATTCACAACAGGGAAGTCAGCGAGAAAGAGAGTTGTTATATGTGAGTGAATGATTTTTCTTCCCTGATTTGCAGTTCTTTATATTATGGTGTTATGTTTCCATGCACTTAAAGGATGTAACTCTATAACTCGTGTACTTGTCAAAAGAAGATTGACTACCATCTCCCGTCCAGGTTGTCAAAGAGTTTTAACGTGCAGCCAGTTTGACTGTCTTTTGACTACAAAGACGGGGAATGGCTCAATAGTTCTTTGACGCGCAAAGCTTCGCTTTTACAATAAGACATGGTTAACAATTTCTCTTTGGGCTTACTGTGGATCTTGGCAACGTCTCGTCTAGTCATGCTTTAACAATGTATTTTATTCTCCCAAAACCCCCGTCTTACAATCATCATTCTCCTTCCAGCTGATCCAAACGTATCGTTTTCCCCCGTCAAAATACCCGACTCTCCTACCCAGCCGCCTGAGTCACCTTCGTTCCTAACACCAGAAGTTTTCAAGCATGAAACGAAGCACGAAGCGAAAGCAAATAATGGTAACTTTGTTATGAGTTTTCAATCAACTGCCAATTCGTTTTTACAGGATTTATTCTGTATAATAACACCGTAGCTCATACTTTATTTGTGCAGAATAGCTTCCCAGAACATTTCAATCACTTGCTTTCTATTTTGATTTTCATTATTTCTTTAGATTTTTTAAATGTCACCAGTCAGCAAAGGTGGATAAAGGCTGTTTAGCTTGTTTTAAACTGAATAGAGATAACTATCTATTTTCAAAAACAGCTTTTGATTCCCATCATAACTTCTTTTTTTCCCTTAAAGGTTAATTGAAAGCAAATTCGTAAACAACATTTATTTATCATGGCGTTGAAAGAAGCAAACATTTCACAACATACCACTAAAACCTTTTTCATCTGACGATCCTCAGAGTATAAAACGTCAGAATAAGGGTCCGAAAGAACACGATGGAAAATATATTTCACATTTGTTTATCAGTTAAAGAATATTGGCTTCAAATGATTACCCAACGCAAAAATCGTCCCTGATATTACAGCTTTTTGACAGAGCTCTCTAAGTAGAGATGGCTGATATTCTTCTGTGTCAGCTGCCATTCAAAATATGTTCTATTTTTGAAACGCCATTTTCAGATAAAGATGACGAGGAATCTCTTCCTGATAACGATGACGTCAAAAGAAACCTCAGTTTGGACCTTGAAGAATCAAAGGTGGAACCACCAGGCGACCATGTGGCGGAGCCTGTTTCCCCGAAAGAGGAAGACGACGGAGAATGTATGTATCATAAAAATATTGATTTTTCTGTGAATAAAATTTCTTCTGCTTGAATGCCTGTTTCAAAATTTGATACACTCGATGAAAGAGGTTTTTTGTCAACAAATGACAGTTCCTTTTATATTTCATTCCATCTTGCCCAATATCCTACATCTGTGCCACAGGAAGGATAGAATTATTGGGGGCGCCATTTTTAGGAAGAATAGGAAAAAGGGGATTTTTCATTTGACAAAAAGGATTATTGTAGTTTTTGGGGGCCCCCCCAAAAAAGTAGCTATAGCCCTGTCCTGCGTATATCAATGGGTGTCTTGTTAACATTGTGATCAGAAGAAATGATTTGCTGAATTAGCGGCTGATGTATTTTGCAAAACCATTTTCCAAAATCAGCTCAAGGATCGTGTGCAACCATAAAATGCATTTTCCACAGTTTCTGACCAGCAGCTTTTTTGTTTAGTTTTCCATTATGTGATACTAGAGGTTGTTGTTAAGGCCTCGAAGAAATTTGACTACTGAAAGCTGAAAGATGGAATTCACGACACAAGGCGAAAGATCAGACTGGGAAAAGTGACTTTCTCTTTGTTTTCCAGAACAACAAATTAAGTTTTACTGCATATATGAAAATATTTTGGGTATTTCCAATTTCACTAAGAATTCCAAGTCAATTTAGTGTGTTTTAACATAAGACACTTCAAAATTTATTCAAGTTACTGTTCACTAGTTAGGGTCAGTACAGGTACTCTTTTGTAAAATATATTTTTGTAAAGGGGTAGTGAAATGGGCACCCGTTTGTAAAGATATATTCAACATTTCTGTAGGTGAAATAACTTTCAAGTCCAAAGTGCTAGACATGACAAATGCAGTCCTTGACCAAACCAACATTAAACAAGCTGAATTATGTTTCACTGGCGGAAGTGATACTGCCTCTGCTGCCTCGCAAGCCCGCACTTTTAAGGTTCCGGATACGGAATCAGCGAGTTCGGGTAAACCGGCTATTGAACCGCCTGCTCAACCGCTCGAGATTGAGGAACGAATTGATACACCTGGACTTAAAACCGTCTTGCCGAATGCAGAGAATACAGGTAAATTCAGAAGGGTTTTGCCTAGGTATTTTCAGTTAAGGTAAACGATTTCATATCATATTTGTAAATGTGGTATCCGAAGAAGTGGGAAACGAAGAAGCTTTTTATTTTTTAATAACATTTAATATTATTGTCTTTATACTTACCCCGAAGTTTGCCACATTTTTTGTATTTGTGACTACCTAGGTAGATTCAGGTAACTGTGAAGCTATGCTTTTCGAGCAGTGTTCTGGTCCTTTTCTCTCGATGTGACAACACCTCGTGATTCCTATGCCTGGAATTACAGAAAGTTGGCAACTCCTTTCACTCGAAGTGAATGTTCTTTCATGTCAGTGACTTTCTTTGATCTGTACCTCACACTTCAAATTCATGCCACCGTTTTCCAAAATTTTAGACCTCTTTTTTTGGAACTAAATTAGGTAAACGACTCCTGTAGCATGCTATAACGCTTTGCTATCCTTATTTCAGTAACGATCAAAGATGAAATTACATCACATGATGTTGTGAGTAAACAGGCTGAATGTAGTCAAACGGATGACGTAACGGAAGCAAAACTTATAAAACAAGATAAGCAGTCAAATATATCTCCTGGGGATTTAATTGTTGATTCGACAGAAGGTTTGTAGCATCCATGATAACTCACAACGAAGAACATTGTGCTGGCTATTACTAAGGCAAAATTCAGTCTGGAGAGTTATTGGTTTTCTAGCCATAAGTCTTGTTAAATAAAATATAGTGCCAGCGCGTTATTCGGTTAGCCCCTTTATCCTTACACACACATATCTCACAAGCAATTACTCAACTTTAGTTCGTACCTTTTATAAGTTGATTTTGCCTGTTTTCACCTGAAATACTATATTATAGTGCCAAATATATTTACAAGAAAAGCAGTCACCAGTAGTCACCAGCTACCAGCTTTCAGGATGTCTTTTCTTATTGTGAATAAGATCTTTCAAAAATCCTCCCAAAGGCAGTTATAAGTTGTTATGTTGCCTTCTGCAGGAGAGGATGTCTATCCAGAAAAAGCAAATGAAGAACTGCCTCATAGTGCTCCTTACGTTCTTGAAAGTGAGACAGTTACCATAGTGAATACTGAAACGGAACATGAAAAGGAGACCGGAACTCAAGACGAGTCCATATTAGAAGGTGCATAAGATTTTTTAGGCCAATTTATATTTTTGCTTTCAATCAATAATGGAGATCTTTGATAACAGAAAGACTAAAGATTTTTACTCAAAAATTAAATGGTTTTCCCAAAACCTGATCAAATCTATAGTTTTTTCGTTTTCTAAAAATTATTATTTTATTTGTGTACTCTTTCAATGTTTGAATTTTTTTAGAATACATATATCTTCGTTAGGTTTATTCCCCTTTCTATGAATTTATTCACCTACCCGTTCAATATGAAACCGATTAAGCTGTCTTCCAATCTTGTGTCAGACTTTGACAATTTTGACAACATCAAGCTATATTCAGTCTTTCGATTTTGCTGACGTGATATATGATTGCAATACGACACTTTTAAGTTGCCAGTTGCTTCTTCTTAAAGTACATTTTGTGTATCTGTTGGGAATATAACTCTTGTTCCTTGCTAACGCGTTGCTCCTCAAAATACAATTTAATTCCTTGTAGTTGAAACAGAAACAGAAGAAACTGAAGAAACTGCAAAACAGAGTGAAAAACAAGAATTTGAAGAGGAGGCTGAAGTAGCTGAATCATCAAAAATCGAAAATAACACAAATGACGATGAGAAGGATGGTGGACATGGCAAAGATGATTCTCCAAGTTTCACCTTAGAACTGGAACCAGAGCAATTGGAAGATGGGGAAGATACTGAGCCAGAAGTAAGTATCAATTTCAAAAGGGAAGGTGAGTTGGTTGATCCCAGGCTGGAGTTATCTCCTGAGCTACAGTTCAGACCACGAGTAGGTGCAGAGGCAAATCCTGGTACCTCTTTTGAGCAGAAGAGAAACAACAATGACGTCAGCATGAAGGCGTCGGTTAAGGAGGAAGCTTTGGTTCCAGATGCAATGGTTTGCGTCGAGCCGGAAAGTGATACTGAGAATAACGAGGAGCATAATTTGTTGCCATGCTTGAAGATAGAAATGCCAAGCCTTAGGAAACCAGTGCTTAGTTTAACAACGCCAGTTAGTGAATTAAGCACTCCTAATTTTGATTTAGGCCCATTTAATCTAAATCCTTTTGCTCCAATTTCTACTAAAGATGTAGACGTAACGATCGAAAATGCTCCTGTCTCTTCAGACTTCACATTACCCAGTTTAAGAAACCCAGTACCCCAAGCTGCTGCTGTTCAAGGAGTTTTAAAAGAGGGCAGAGGAAACCTTAGAGTTTATGTTGATTCAATTGACATTACAAAAGAGATGAGGCATATGGATTCGTCATTTGAATCGCAGGAAAGCAGTTTTTTGTCATCAGCAACGGATTTTGACAGCAAACCTTTGGATTTTGGATATCTGACAGACGAAAAAGGGGCGACACCTCCCAAACAAGCAAAAACTGCCCCAGATATTTCCAGAGTATCCACTAGGAGGAGAGGTTGGTGCATCATAACAATCATAGTCACCACTATGTGTTATTACCAGTCGTCATTATTCTATTCAATGAACTTCTATGCAATCGTCAAACTTACTCAAAAGATTTGTAGTTGAAGTGTATCTTTCTCATTGCTGCACTTTTATCGGCTTTGTAGAGTTATGTACATTCTTTCTTCAGTTCTCAGCTAATGAACCTTTCTTATCACACAGGTCCTGAAAAACCATTAGAAAAAAACGAAAGCACGCCGGTGAAAGCAAGGAAATCTTTGTCTCCCACAAAACAAAAGCGTCGCTCCTTCCAGACACCAAGGCGATCACCAAAAGATGTTGGCTACACTCCACCCGTCACTAGGCTCTCTGCAAAGAAGGGTACCCCCGTCACTGTTTCAGGCTCTGTAAGCCGCTTGCAAGAAATCGGGGAAAACAGTTTACTAAGGTATGAGAACAATATGACAATTTTTGGCGCCACTTTGTCGTGGCTGTTAGAAATGACGTTGCCGTTTATCCGTTCCCCAACTGTTCATCATTAGTGTCATTTCTCTAGTTGCTTCATGGGAAGTCCACTGGGAAAGAAAAACGCCTAGTTGGTGATAGTGCTCACCATCATTATAGGTTGCTTTCGGCCTAAGTGCCTATAAATTTTCGTGGCCAAATAATTCGATTGCCTAAATTTTCTTATTTCAATCGCAGATTTTCCCGAAATAAATATCCCTTTTTACGCCAACATTGTTATCATTGTTCAGAGTTTCCGATAATTCGAGTAAGCTTTTCTTTACCCTACGAGTTTGAATGATCGGATCTTGACTAAGTTTTACTAAACGTTCTCATCTTTGTGTGAATCGCCTGTTTATATTTCAGCTCAAGTGTCAGTGAGAGCCCAATATCATTCACTCCTTTAAGCAACTCAACGAAAAAGAAACCAAGGGGTCGGCCTAAGAGGTACTCCTTACAAAGTCCAATGGTTTCCACCACGCACGGAATGACTCTGCGCTCGCGAACAAAGAATACAACACCAGAACGAGTTTAATGCAAAAGAGGCTTTATCGTGATGGGTGCGCGCTGATGTGCCTATCCAGGACCCTCGACGGGAGCAATAAGCTTTTAATCCACCTAATAATTCTGTATGAATTAGTTAATTAAGCGATTAGCATTTGCTGGTAGCTTCGAAAATCGTCACTTTTGATATACGATTTGCTCCAATAATGAAAAACATTTATCACGAGTGGGGCATTTTTTGGTTATGTTAATTATACATGGGTCTGGTTTTTGCTTTTTGTGGAAAAATTATTTATGAAACAGGAGATGCAGGAGTTGATTAAGAGGAACGGAGAGGGACACTGCTAACACCAGAGGGTCCTTTCAAGCAAGGTGCATTTTTGATTAATTGTATTGCCAAGCTTGGCTTATTTAAGTGTTAAACACATAGGAGTGCGTGCTATTCACAAAGCTCTACACTAGAATTAAAGTCTATCCTTGACAAAATTGGATGCAAGAAACTCTTCACAGAATGGGACACATTGCAACGTTTCTTCCCATCCCGGCTTCCTTCGACAGAACACACATTCGCAATCTAAATAGAAACTTTTGCCCTTATCTTGGATTTTTATCAAACCAGAATTTGCGTCTTGCTGTTTTAAAATCACATCTTTGAATTTCTTAATGCTAATAAACCTTAAATGAATTTAATGGCTAGCAATTAAAATCTTTAGGTTTGATGACGTCATTAGATGCAATACGCAGCCCTGTTGTGTCAGTAGTTACGTTAATTATATGTATTTTGTCCATGCTAGAAGAATTGAAGACTGTTTGTTTTCTACAGTTACTTGTGTGCTATACTTTTCTTGACGTCCGCCCAAGTCAGTAATTCCTTACATACGTAGGGTTTGACTCGGAAATTGTTTGTAAAGTCTAGCTTAAAACATTCAGTGACTCGTCGTTGTTGCCGTTTTCGTTTTCGTCGTCGTCGTCTTCACGTTGTCGTCTTCACGTTGTCGTCTTCACGTTGTTGTCTTCACGTTGTCGTCTTCACGTCGTCGTCTCCACTTCGTCGTCACTTCGTCATCTTCACGTCGTCGTCTTCACGTCGTCGTCTTCACGTTGTCGTCTTCACGTCGTCGTCACTTCGTCATCTTCACACAACATCAAGTATCATTTCTACTCAAAGCTGGAGAATCGTATCTTTTATCGCAGCGAACCGCCCTTGCATACGCCTTTGTTTTATGAAACAACAAAGATTTGAGGAAAGGACTGGTGAACCTATAAATTGAGTACTCTAGATCCCATTTTAGCCAAAAGAATATGTAGAAACCTAGAAACACAATGTCCAGAATATTCCCATATCGCTGTTTTTTCTAGCGATACTAACATTATACGTCAATTTTTGGTTTATCCTTTTAAAGCATATTGCTCATGATTCAAATAATTGTTCAAGTCACAGTGAAGAACTGAGTCACAATTCGCTTTGGATGAATTAATTATTGTTAGTTTAATTTTCACTTCTGCCCCTGAACCCCTGCGCAACCAGTTTGCCCGGGTAGTCATGGTCAGACACTCCTACGCAGCTTCAGGAGTGAAAGTACATCAATCGCCTACGTGATCAATCGCCTAGGACCACCAAAAACAGTTTCCGCCAAAAGCATAGCAGATGCCAAAGCGTAACAAAACGGAAACTATTTCCTAACACTATCGAGACGAAAACCTCTCCAAACTAACCACTTTTCTTTGGCCTCTAGAAATAGACGGTTATACAGAGGGCTAGAATCCCGGACAAAAATAGTTTAGACTTTTCAAGGAAAGTTGATATTTTCTCTTTTCATTTAAAAAGTAACCCCCCCCCCCAAAAAAAAAAAATTCAATGTTGAATGCGTGATTTTGAGAAGGAAATGATATAACTACAAACCCAACATTGAGTCAGGGGTAAAGGGGTGATTCGAATTTACAGGGGCAACATAAAGTAGAAAGTTGCAAAAGTTGCATTTTGTCTCACATTTTTTGTCCGGGATTAGCTAGATCCTTTTTAAACGTAAAAGTCTTCTTATTCACTAGTTGTTTCTTCATTTAATTTCGACTCATAAAGTCCATTCCAATCAAGTTAGTTCAATATATTGCGTGTACACAAATAAACCAACCAGTGGCGGATTACCTATGGGGTATATGCCCCTTGCCCAGAATCTAACCGCCCTGCTGAACAATTTTTTCGGAATTTTTAGTAGAAGGCCGTGTACTTTATGGACACTCGTTGCAATCACGTCGTGTGGGGGATACATAGATGCTCCAACCTATGATTATTTGAAGTCGGCAGATTTTTGAATAATTTCTCGTGAAATATTCGGATTTAGTCGATACACAAAATAAATGCTAAAGAAATTTGCAGAAAATTTCGACAAAAGTAAGTCGATAAACTCGAAAATTTAGTAAAACTTTTCCATTAGTAGAACAACAGCTATAAACATCATCTTAGCTATAAAGAAGATTGAGATGACAAAAACTTTTGAATGCAATAATTGAGACGCTCAAGTTAAGCTTGAATGTTCTCTGTTGTAACGCATACATGCAGATTTGCATTTTTGAAAAGTAATTCATCAGAAAAAACCTTGTTTTAGTAAGAAGTCAAGTACATTTTCGACGCCAATGAAATGGCTGGTTGTGTTTTTCTATTGTAGCCTGGTCATTTCTAATGACCAGAAGAACATCCGGCTTTCCATGGCTTAGAAAGCAAGTAATTTTTGGAAAATTTATCGAATAAACTATGTTTAAAATCAAACTATGGAATTCTATTCCAAATGTTTAAACATGATGAAAAACTACCGCAACGAAAGGACTTTCAGTGTTTAAAACGGTACTTGCAATTAGCTATAGGTCAGACTCGATTGGGTAGCCTGTCTCTTCTAAGCATCAAGCATGGTGTAATGGAAGAGCTCTCGATGGATGACTATTTCTCTGACTTCGCAGCTTTAAAAAAGTTGATATATGGCTTGTTATTGCACAAACCTATTGTTTGATATTTTTGTAATTATATTTTATCTTAATTAGTAATTGTCGTACATCTAAACTTGTTGCTTAAAGTTTTGCAATAAATATACATTAACGCCGTTTATGCTTTGTTATGATATAATATATTTTTCTTGACAGGACTTAGCCCCAAAATAGCTTATGCCCCCGGCCCTAGTATTGGTTAATCCGCCACTGGAACTAACCACTAACCAACTTGGAAAACAGCTGATAGAGCCAGATGTGGTCTTTAGCACGTGGTCTTTAGGTGATCTCAACTGCTTCTCTTGATCAAGGAGACCCTTTTTTTATTAAGGATCCCACTTCCGAGTCTTCAAGAAACTAAGCTTATTTTTAAGACGTAGTTCTTTTTCACATGTCAAACTTAAATCCAATCGTTATCTCGTTATCTCAAAATGCATAAACAGTGAATGTTTACTTGTTTCATGATAGTGACGGTTTTCTTATGGCTGTATATTTCCCATTGAAAAGACTTGATCCCTTGTAAACATTCCTGTAATCGTACTTGCTATATTTCTGTTATCAATGCGTCGAAGAAGCGTGATTTGAAAATGCAGTGGTTCAAGGCAGCAGTGGGCAGCAGTGGAGATAATCGGTTTCTAAATCAGCAGATGTTAAGATAATTCAATATCCAAATAGTTAATCTTTCTTCGTAGTCAATTAGAGATTTAATCGTCAATTAAAAATGAAAATAGGGCCTTATTCGGGTGTGGCGTTTTCATTTCCTTTTACGGTTATCTGCACCGTTTTTCTTTTATCCGGTCTCCAAATCGGGACTTGCAGCTGGTGGACATGACTGAAATTTTCGTAGAACGAAGTATTTTACAGTCGATATAATCCAAGGGTGGGTTCAGCTGAGACTGATTACTTGTTCACCCCCGTTTCATGACGCACCAAATAATAGCATATTTACAAGGCCGGTCTAATTGCAAGACGGGTTTTTGCTCAACATTGATAATAAGGTTACGGGCGTCACTGGTCAACCTGCCAACCATTGCGAGTCCGCATTGAACCCATTATTCGATGAATTAAGAATGATTTTTTAGCTCAGTACAACTTCGGAAATGTTTTGAAAAACTACATTGCGTTTTTCCATATTGTTACAAGGTATAACCTAGCAATCGAAAAGTGTTTCAGATACAGATCGCAACGCAAATTTGGATTTCTTGAAGGGTGCACTGCATGGATCTTCGTCTCTGCCTTCAGGGAATTTTCGATTCAAAAGGAAGGGCTTCACGTGCCGGTAAGTTCAATTATTTCCAAGCCGTTTCATTAACAGATGTGTGAATTTAAGAATTGTGTTTCACACCTTTCTCAACAGCAGTTTTCAATCTCCTATGAGGGTCATTTTCAAACAGCTTTAAAAATTCAATAATAAAACGTTATTTGGTAAGGGGATCCAACCCATTTTGGTCGTGGCTCATTTTTTCGACTAACTAACTCACAATACATTTTGTCGTCCATGTGCGCAGTTGACGTTAGACAGCCTTAAAAAAAAATTGAGGAATATTCTGGCCCAATCCTTCGGTCCCTTTTTCCAGGCCGTTGGAAAAACCCAACTTTCTAAGGGGGGTGTGTGTGGCAAGAATGAGATGTCTGACTATGCTGTACATCATATTGGTTGAGAGGGGGTCGTTTTTCTAGCCCTGAGCGTCTGACCCCCCTACCCCTTACTCATTATTTGATTACCTAACCATATAAAAAAACTGTAAATAGAGTTATATTCTGTTGGAGTGGGGTTGAAAGTGACCTGTATTGACATTGCCCTCTCTTCATTACTTTAGGCACACGATCCTCTGCTCCCTTGTTGGATAGAATTGCAATTTTTTCTTACTTATTTATCAAGTAGTGTTTTACTCTAGCATTCGCCGATTCGACAAAGTCGATGTTTATCACTTGATTTGCTAGCTCTTAAACCCTACCCCCTTTTCCTTGTATTCTAAGACTGGTCTTCATAGCTTGAGGAAATTGTCCACAAGAAGGATGAACACTTGATTCTGTCGTGTAGTTTTATTTTTCTTCTTCTTACTTTTTTTATACACTCGTCTGTGTAGCTTTCATGCTGTTTGTAAAAAAGGCTTCAGTAGCATGAGCTGTTTGTATACATTTCTAGGAACAGTTTAATGCTAAAATATTAGCAGAAATTTTGCATATTTATCTGCCTAGATTTCTGTCGAGCGTGATAAAGAAAATGAATCAAATGTGCTTCCATCTTAAAACAGTCTTTTTATCGGGAAGACATGAATTTTTTCTGAATAAATCTCCAATTTACTGATAAGAAGAGTTCGTTTTATTTCACTGCCGAATCATTATTCGCTTACTTAGAAATTTATTTCAATCACTTTCAAGCTTAAGCCAGCTACAAATATAGAATTTCCCTTGTTATCATTGCATTGAACAATGTTTGGTGATTGCATCACTACAATGGCGGGCCTGTTGCAATGATCTTTACGCATGAATTCGGCAACATCAACCAAGATTCTTATCTCATTCTTGTTGTAGCCAGGCATCAGCTCTGAAGCTGTGTCTTTGTTCTCTGCTTGGGTGTTGCCAATGTAGACACACAGGTGCTGTTATGAAGTATGAGCAATGAAAAACCTGTTGATGATGAATTGAAGCTGGCAAATAGGCAGTTAACTGGTTTTAATATCTTCTTCAAATTACAGGCCGGCTCGCACATTTGCCTGTTGATTGCTCACTTGGACGCATTTAGAAAGCATTTCGACAGGAAAATAACATGAAAATGACTGATAAAATGAATTGAAGGTGAGTGGATTGATTCTCGCATTTTTTTAACATTCTGATAGGCTCTTACAATAGATATTTATTGGCCTGAAAACTTTGTCTTTCCATAAAAAACAGCATCTTGTCATAGATAAGTTATACTGCTCCATTTCTTCTATTTGATGATGGTACAACAAAGGAAATTTATGATAATGAAATAGTTTAAAGTTAAATTGTCGAATGAATTCTAGAAACCTTGTTGGAAAGAACGTTAAAGAAAATGAACCTGGAGCTCTAATTGTGAATAAACAATTGTGAGGCCAATCTTACAAATTTTCTTCGGATAACCAAACAATATTAGCAATCATAATTTTGCCATTTAGTGCGATCAGTAAAGAATACATCTGCAAAGAAACTGCCTTATCGGAGAACGCTTTCACCTAAATTTTGCTCAGTTTGGTCTCCTGATGACTGTTCTCTCTGGTGTCTAAATTTCTAGCCTTCGTAATCGAAAGATTTTCCCATTGCCTTGCAATCACAGTTTAAGCAAGGCATGGTGAGTGAAACTTTGTGTGATGCGTCTAGAACGTGTTATGTCAGCCAGTCATTTCACTTCAGTAACATACGCTGACCTTCGTGGAAACCCAAGCAGCATTTTTTCAAACATGATATTCTAGGTTAAGAGAACGCTTAATACAAATTTCCCTAACCCTTCAATTCTCTTTAAGCTGGTTACACATTTGTTGGTTTGCTGTATTTGCTAGTGGAGTAAACAAAAGATAAACCCAACAGTTGGCACTTTAGTTTTCAATTCTTTATTCTCACTTTGATATTCTCAATCCGAAAGTGCTTTTTTGTTTAAAGTTCGCATATTAATGACGTTTTCGTAAATTGGTTTGTTGTTTAGTGCCCGATGCCATAAAAGCAAAGTTGCACGCCCTCTGTTGTGTAGAACAGTGCAGTTCCAAGCTGCGACTAGTCCCAAGTTCCGCGATTAACGCGATTATCGCTTTACGTCCCACATATTAAAGTTTCATTCATTCTTGCAAGCTTTCTTTGTTGTCCCTGGTGATTCTCCTTCCTAGAAGCAAAGCAGCCAGTCATTTTCATCTAATCGGCTAATTTTTTACTCTATCAGCTTTTCTGCTATGTTTTCCATGCTTTTCACCTGTCTTCTTGGTGACAATCAACACTTTATTGTCTTTCCACATACCTGTTTGTTTAGTTGCACAGGTACAAAATTTCCGAGTGTTAGCAAGCAGCTGCTTCGACACCTAGTTTTCAATGCTTCGAAACCGTTTCACTTGTTTATTTAAATACCTGAAATTGCAAAGATGACTTAGTTTTCAGGTGATCAACTTAATCTGTTAAAATGATGCAACTCTGATTCTTTTGGCTATCAACTTGAATTGCTTTTGTCGTTTGCTTGAAAAAGGCAGAGATGTTCCTGCTCATAAACATTGACTCTTAGGACTATTGTCAAGAAAGAAGTCATCTTTTTCTTAGAACAAAGGTTTCTGTCGAAATTGTTTTTGTTCAACAAAGGTTTGAGGATATTGCCTGGAATTTTGTTTTCTTCTCTTATGCGACTGTTTTCTGGCTTTCTGGGACACCAGTTTACATTAATAGTTATTTTGTTATGAAATGTATACTGTTATCATTTTGTTTTGCATAAGTTTTTATAGAAGACTAGAAGAGCTGATTTTATTTTGCAGGCACAATCTTGGAAATAAAGCAATGGGAGCGCTAAAGACAGTTGGTAACGTCTGGTTTAAGGCATTGTTTCGAAGGAAAAAGCTCAACCATTCAAGCCAGCCTACATTTGGCCTAGCTAGGTGCCTCACCACTAGTCATCTGATATCTTTGGGAGTCGGCGCCACTCTTGGAGCCGGCACGTATGTTGTCACCGGTCAGGTGGCGGCAAATATCGCCGGACCATCAGTCACGATTTCATTTGCCATTGCAGCATTCACCTCTATATTGTCCGGGCTGTGCTACGCCGAGTTCGGATCGCGGGTACCCAAAACAACAGGCAGTGCGTATACTTACAGCTATGTCACCGTTGGGGAAATATGGGCCTTTGTTATCGGCTGGAACTTGATTCTTGAATACATGATTGGCACTGCAGCGGATGCTGCTGCCTTATCCGGTGCATTTGACTATGCCATTGGATACAGGGTGCGGAATTTCACAATAACACACATCGGATCATTCAATACGCCCTACATAGGGGAATACCCGGATTTTTTATCGTTTATCTTCACTATTATCGTGACTATAATTTTAGCTTGTGGTGTCAGAGAATCGGCCCAGTTTACCTCGCTGTTTAATATTTTCAATGTGTTAGTCGTTATCTTCATTATCATCACCGGCTTCTTTCACGTGGATATCAAGAACTGGACAGAAGGCGACGGCTTTTTTCCATATGGCGGAATGGGCGTCTTGTCAGGAGCAGCGACCTGTTTTTACGCTTTCGTTGGCTTTGATGTCATAGCAACAACAGGCGAAGAGGCGACAAATGCACCGAAGTCCATTCCAATAGCAATCGTTGCTTCGTTACTGATAGTTTTCGTTGCATATTTCGGCGTTTCGTCGGTAATTACACTTATGGTTCCGTACAATTTACTAGACAAACATTCTCCAATCCCTGATGCATTCAAGCAACGAGGACTTCCTTGGGCTAATTACATAATATCAATAGGTGCAATTTGCGGACTGTCCTCTAGTCTGCTTGGCAATCTGTTCCCGTTGCCGCGAGTAATCTTGGCCATGTCCCAGGATGGCCTACTTTTTGAATGTTTCGGGAGAGTCAACAAACGGACTGAAGTGCCAGTGAATGCCACTGTGTACCCTGGAATTCTCACGGCATTTTTCGCATTGTTATTTGACCTTCAAGAACTTGTTGAAATGATGAGTATAGGGACGTTACTGGCTTACAGCCTCGTTTCACTTTGTGTGTTGATATTGCGCTATCAGCCGGATGATCACATTCAAAGATCCCACGAGGACACTGAGGAGCAGCACGAAGTGATTGCCGTTGAAACAGTTGACAAGAAAGAGACTTTGAGCAAGAGTCCGGTTAAAGAAACCGAATCAAATGTTGCAGAAATACAAGCTTTTGATACATTCTCATATGAAGACAGAACTGAGGACAGTGAAAGTTCTTTTTTGCTAGGGGACTCTAAATTAACGCCGACTGAAGGAATAGAGCCATCAGAAGACAAAGGGCATGATAGATCAAAAGGACCTTCAAGATTTACAGGAAGGATAGCCTCGTGTTCATCCATCCTGTTGTTGCTATGGTTTTTCGGCTTCAACAGCACGTTGATATTCGCATTTGATGAAATTTTGGATAAGAGAGTCTTGTATTTAACTATTCTAATTATTTTCGGAGTGTTAAGCATCGGGACAATCTGTGTGATTGCATCAATGCCACAATCGAAGACTAAGATTGGCTTCATGGCACCTTGCATCCCTGGAATGCCGATTCTAGCTATATACTGCAATATATTTCTAATGCTGCGACTTTCCATGATAACTTGGGTTCGTTTCGGTGTGTGGATGCTTATAGGTAAGTAAGGAAGTTTTTATCTCATGCTGTGTCACGCATTTCCCATCACCAATTTTCATTTTTTCTGTTGCCAGTATTGTTTGGTAGATGAACAAACAAAATATTTAATTTTGCCCCGTCTTGGGGCAAAGAGCATGCGCATTTAATTCACTCCTTATAAGGCATGCTCTTGGATCGTAAGACGGGGGAGACTCGCCCATTTAAAGATTTAAGCTTGCTCGTCAGGCCTCGAATATGATTATATGGTCACATGACCGTTGGTGCACTATTCACCACTCGGTGTCAGACTTCTTTGAGCTTTCCCGCCAGCTGTATCCTGTAGCCTTTTGGCTTCGAGACTCCATTCCCTGTCTCTCCCTCTTATTACATTTTCCTTCCATTCCTTTCCTCTGCCTTGCTCTCTTTTTCCAATGATGCTTATTTTAACAACCTTTTCAACTTCGCAACAAAACAGTTTCATGAAGATAGATTCCAAAACTGCTAAATTGAACGACGAACGTTCTATCTAGAAGATTTGAATTATCTACATAACCATGAAAAACCGCTATTATGAAGGAGTTTGTTTTCATCTTAGGAATCAATTGGTAATATTTTCAATGTGCAAGTGGCACTGATCCGTTTCTGATTGGCCTATTTCGATCCACAACTGGGTATAAATATTAGCATAGAGCTTCCGACCTATGTTCTGGCGTTTTATACCCTGAAATGTGCTTCAAAATGTTTGCTTTTTCAAAGCCATTTTTCACTTTTTTACCACAAAAAAGATTATATTTAGTTGAAATTGGGTTGAAAAAGTCGGTAATAACAACATTTTGATCTTTGCTTCGCGATTTGTCGTTGCTTTGAAACATCATAAAGGTTATTATTTAATACAGAATTGGACATCTTCCGAATTCGAAAAATCAAATATGAAGATAGTTAGCGTAAATGGGATCGGGAAAATTTTTAACTTTTTGAAAAGATTTAACTCAAAACCTGTTAATGGCGAACCAAACAATCATTCACGTTCACCAGTGTTCATTAAGGCAGTTTTTTAATCGAAGCCACTACACTGGCCCGATCGTCCTCTTATGTTGCAACAGCAAGGCACAGTCTGTGGTATCTAAGAATTTTATAACATTTAACAGAATAATTTTATTTTCCAGGTGCTCTAATTTACCTCTTCTATGGAACATGGTCCAGCAAGACAGGAATTCAAAATGCAAAAGATGAGAAAGAGCAGCTGAGCGAGTTAAATTGAAGGGCCTGGCATCTTTCTTGGATGGAGACTTTTGTAACCATGGCTAGTCCAGCGCACAGCTCAACTAGCTATAGGGCTGATCCTAGGAATAAACTTTAGCAGACTTTCCTCTTGGGTACCAAACCTTTCCCAACCTAGTATCACACTGAAAACGTTTAGCAGTAAAGAATTTCACATCATATACTATTTGGGGCCTCCAACAACGCCCCCTCCCTAGTTTTTCCAAACAACGTTTTTTTAGCAAATCTTTTGTTATCAGTCTTGAATTTGCCCTTGCTCTACCCCACTTCCCAATTTGCGTTAGCTGGTCACTGAGATAAATACGTTGGTGGTTTGTTTGCCCTCATGTCTAAGAAACAGAACTCTCAGAAATTGATTCTTTATCAAGGACTTTCAAGACAATTCAATATCGATAATTTGAAAAACCCATTAAACTGAAATTGAATTTTTCTTGCTGTGTGCTCGAATAAATTAGCCAAATCTAGATCTTGAAAGTTTTTTTCCAATCATAGATATGAACCAATGAATTAGAATATAAACAAAATCAATGCTGTATTAAATAATAACTTAAAACAACTGATGTATTTCTTTAGTAATTTCATAAAAACTGACATTTTTAAAGACTTGTTGCTTTCTTAAGATTGTGAACTATTTATTTACCTGTTATTATGTTAAAGGTCTTCTGAATTCAGTGAACGTAAACAATTACAAAAACATTCAAGAATAAGTAGGAACGACCTACAGAAAGAAAATACTATAATGGCCAAACATCAAAATTACATTTCCTTTTTGCTTTTGTACTGCAAGTACATTTCCAAATTTTTCCTTTTTATCTTGCGTTGTGCTTAATTATTGTCTTTTTTGTAATCACCATTGTACCATTAAGAGATTTTAACAGTAATCTCCTTTCCCTCAGTGTCTTACAAGTTGAGTTTTAAAGGAAAATTTTTATTTGGCTGAGCTGTTTAAAAGTTAAAATTATCAAAAGTTGGCCTTGAGACTAATAGTTACAAAGGACAAATTTTTGCATTCTTTATAAGAAGACTTTGAAGGCAATCGGAACTAAGATGACATTGGCTTAAAAGCCAAATTCTGAAGTCAACAATACCTTCTGAACACTGAGCTCAAACAAATAAAGAGGAATAGCAATCCAACTTCAAAGGATGTTCAAAAATTGATACTCAAGTTTTCCTCAGAAGCAAGCTGTCGCTGTTGTGTTGCCAAAAACATATAAAAAATACATTGAGAGCTCTTTGCATTTATCTCAACAAAATTACTAAGCTTTCTGTCCTTTCTTTTTTCCAAGCTTGTGGTGCTTTCTTTTACTATTTTCTTTTGACTTTTGTATCCCCAGGAATTTCCTTTTGTTTCTTCTTCTGAATTCAGCATCATGCAGTAACTCGTCTACCATTGTTCTTTTCCTTGCCTTTTTTGGAATACGTGATGAATAGAAGTCAGCAGCCCCATCAAGCACAGTACCAACCTGAAAGTGCCTAGAATAAAAGCAAACAATTATCAACCAGCATAACAGTAATCATGTGCCAAGTTGAAAAAAACAAATAATTAGAAATAAATTGATTTGCCATATTGCTAACTCATTATACAACTGAGTAGCTATAAGACAAGTATTTTTAAATTTGTATTTTGGTTGAAATTTGGTTGAAAAGCTCTTTTTAAGAAATGATGAAACATGGAAAGCACACTTTTGCTTTATATTAATGAAAAGTAGAGTTGGATCCATCTTAGATAGGAATTTTCCAATGAAATATTTGTGCATATTTCCAAAGAAATAATAACATAATCAGAAGCAATGTTGAGCAGCTGAACAGCTTTTTTTCTTTTTCAAAAGTAGTAATATATGGTGTTTTTTAATTTATTAGAAAGAATTTTATCATCAAAAATGCAGATGGAAACTCAAATACATACTTGGGGAATTTATTGATTCCTCTCTTGTAAAATCTCTTTGGGTTCAGTAGATGTCTCATTTTCAAAACTTGCATATCTCTCTTTGTTTCTTCTGTCATTTCTGTTTTTGGTAAATTGTACCATCCTGGCCCTGCTGTTTCTTCCTTTTCCTTCCTTCTTTGCTTGATTACTTGTGTTGCTGTTTTTCTTGCTTGTGATTTCTCTTGCTTCTCAAAGGCAGGGCCAAGTTTACTTTTCTTCAAAATGTCCTTCTTCTTTTCACATTCAGCGTATGATGCTTTCCTTTGTACTGGACCTGTTTTGCTACCTTTTATGTCAAAATACAGATCATTCAAGTCAATATGTGGATCGAGTTCTGATGACAATGCGAACTGTTTCTCTTTTTGAACATTTTCAACTTTTTCACCAGAAGTTAATGGAATATGTTCCAGCTTGTCAACAAAATCTTTCTTCGTTTTTGTGATGAATTTTCCAGGTAGATTCGTATCTAGCAGATCCTTTTTGGTAATTTTGAAAGGAAAAGACTCAAAAGCATCTGAAGTTAATTTTAAGAGACTTTTGCCTTTTGAACTTTTTTTGCTAAACAAAAGCCCTTGCTTTACTCTATCCTTGTTCAAAATCTTAATTTTTTCAAATTTTTTTAAAGAATCTTTGGTTGTCACTTCAAAGCCTTCCTTGGAGCTACGGCCCAATGTGCTCAAATCATTATTGTTTGGCTTCAAGTTTTCATGTGGCTCATCAGTTCCAGCTTGAATCTGAACTGACTTTTCTACATCTGATAAAGTTCTTGTGTACTCACTGTTGTTGATGTCACAATCTTTGCTAACATTTGCAGTTTTTACCTCTTTAAGAATTTCTTTATAATCAGGTTGACTCTCTCCACCTTTTGTGACAAATGGTTTCTTCGGATTGCTACTTTGAATTGGATCCAATGGTACCATTGGTGTAGTTGAATCTTCCAAAATTATAGCATGTTGATCATCATTTGTGTCAGAATCTTTGTTAGTATTTGTAGTTTTTACCTCTTCAACAGTTTTTAAACCACCATGTTGACTTTCCCTACCTTTAGTGATAACCAGTGAACCACAGTCTTCCAAAATGACCCTAAGTGGCTCTTTCAAAGAATTTGTAATGCACTCCATCTTCCTATCACTAATTATATCAAATGACTGAGTTGCAGAAGCATTTAAACCACCAGAGGGTAACTTAGAAGGTTCAGAAACTTCAACCTGCTCATTTAAAATTATATCTTTCCTACCAGTACTTTCAAGTTCTTTGTTAGTAGCAACAAAGTTTTCATTGTTGCATTGTGATGTTGATCTTGTTCTTCTCTTATAATCACTTGCTTTTGATGGAATGGATACATTTCTTCCTCCCCTTTTCTTGTTTTCATTAATTTTAGTAGTTGGTTCCTCTTCTGCAGGTGATTCCAATGAGGGCAAATCATTTTTTGTGAATTTACCTAAAGCAAGATCTTTTTTATTATCTGACGATTCCTCTGTTACCCCCTTTTCTCTAATACTCCTGTCTACTTTTCTCCTTGGGCGTCCTTGTTTAATCGATGAGGAAGTCTCCTTTTCTTGGTCTGTCCCTTTCTTCATAGGGGTCACAATAGAGCCTTTTGATACATTTTCTTCTTGGTCCAGCAATATGCCAGTAGTGATATCTTCTTTGCTGTCTGACGTTGCCTCTGTTGATCCCTTTTCTCTAATACTCCTGTCTACTTTTCTCCTTGAACGTCCTTGTTTAGTTGACAAAGAGGCCTTCTTTTCTTGGTCTGCCCCTTTCTTCAAAGGGGTCACAATAGCGCCTTTCGACACATTTTCATCTTGGTCCAGTAATATGCCAGTAATAAGAACTTCTTCATTGTCTGACAATACCTCTGTCAACCCCTCTTCTTTAATATTCCTTTCTACTTTTCTCCTTGGACGTCCTTGTTTAGTTGATGAAGAAGTCTCCTTTTCTTGGTCTGTCCCTTTCTTCAAAGGGGTCACAATAGCGCCTTTCGATACATTTTCATCTTGGTCCAGTAATATGCCAGTAATAAGAACTTCTTCATTGTCTGACAATACTTCTGTCAACCCCTCTTCTTTAATATTCCTTATTACTTTTCTGCTTGAACGTCCTTGTTTAGTTGACAAAGAGGCCTCCTTTTCTTGGTCTGCCCCTTTCTTCAAAGGGGTCACAATAGCACCTTTCAATACATTTTCATCTTGGTCCAGTAATATGCCAGTAATAAGAACTTCTTCATTGTCTGACAATACCTCTGTCAACCCCTCTTCTTTAATATTCCTTTCTACTTTTCTGCTTGAATGTCCTTGTTTAGTTGACAAAGAAGTCTCCTTTTCTTGGTCTCCCCGTTTCTTTAAAGGGGTCACAATAGAGTCTTCCGATAAAGTCTCATCTTGGTCTAGTAATATGCTTTTTCTTGCAGATATTCTTGCACTTCTTCTCATACTTGGTTATTTGAATTTGAACAAACGGCTCGAATTGATCTCCTGGACATGCGGTACACGAAGGACTAACACGACACATGCGGACAAATCGAGACTTACATCAACATTTTGTTAAAGCCGCGTAATGAAACATGAACCCGAGGCTAGCTTTCCAAATGGATCAAATAAGCAATATGGCGGAAAGTGTCCCTTTGGAAAACTCTCGTGTCAAGGTAGGAAAAACTTCAGTTGAATTGGTGTCATATTATTCATTGGTTGTCAAATATAATTCTTTGTCTTGCCAAAACCAAATCCAGCTATTCTCTACACCAATTTTTTATCAGAAATTAAAGCTCAAGTATCTGCAAGAAGTGAGATTCAAAAAATATTGTTCAAATTCAAGTATTGCTCTGCACAGCAGGAAATGCAAAATAAATTGTCAAATTTTGTGGAAACTGAAAGCAAGGGATTTTAAGGCTTTCCATCTCTAATTCGTTTATGCAATGCACAATAAGTTTGAAGGGCAAAATCCATGTAATGCTATCACCACAATAAAGATCCGTGCAAAGCTTTCTACCTTAATTTAATAATGTTGATAGCAGTGCCAAACTTCTGAAGCTATTATCACTGCTGCTTAGCCATTCTTAACAGTATTCTTCTTGCACTTGCTGGGCTAGAAAGCCATGGTGGAAAAGCTCCTACCCTGGCTAGAAATTTCCCTGGTTACTTCAGCAAAATGATTCGAATGGAAGCCAATGTTGCTTCAGTACCAGGGAAAGTAGATATAGATGCTGTTTATTTTCTTCTTTGGGTGTTTCCTGACTTTGAGGACTCTAGAATTATTTTCACATTTAATTTACACTTGTGCCAATAAAACAGTAGTTCCTGTCAGTGACAGGTCATTTCTCTATGAATTTTACCCAATTTTGCTGGTGTGTGGGAATATTAGCTGAAAATTTAGGTTCTCTTCTTCAGATTTTGAACCTTGTATTTTGAAAGAATATGCCTGAGTGAGTTTTCAAACAGGTTTTGGTCACAAAAGTGCATTGTTGCTTATTATTTTAACTCATTTAAAGTTGACAAACATCACATTCCTTTTGCCCCTTTCAGAAATTCCCTCCAGCACTCAGTTTTTTCTCGATTTTACCACTTTTTCTTGTTCTATAAGCAAAAAATGTATAGCCATGATTGGGCACCCACCTCATCCATTTGCATAAGATTACTTTTTTATCAGAAACATGCTCCGGGAATCATTTATAAAGTACAGCATTAATCATTTTAGGGAATTGCATAACACGATATGCATATAATAATGAAAATCTGTTTGTGCTGGTCGAGTGTGATGAAAGAACCACTCAGAATCATCACTAATACCATCACAGGAAGTAATTTTTAGATAAAAACGTATTAAAAGTCTAGCTTTTCTTGTTCAGTACATTTATTTTTTTAGTTCATGTTTGGATCAAAACAATATATAAAATTTCTTTTTTTTGGTGTCTAAAACATTTGAAGTGAAGAGTTGTTTAATTCTTTGGTACCATATCGAACAGAACACGCAAACAGAACATCAGTAATGCAGATACTACTGCTTTTCCGTGTGATTTAAACTGGAAGTTACGGATCGAGAGTAAAAGTAACAACAGAAAGTTGAAAATATTGCTTTGAGGCTCGCAATCAGCTATTTACCTGCTAAGATCTTTACAAAGAGGCAAGCATGTAGATTCTGTGGGCAGTACACTTTGGCCAGCCAACTTTATAACAAATTTCTTTAATTTTTGTTTGTTTATTTGGCTTAATAGCTGACAAATTCATTTTAGTTTGCCTCCATAATTGAATAATACTTTTTCTTTTACAAGACACAATTTTGATCAACTGTTCAAATGCTTTTGGGAAGGGATATGAATATTGGTACTACAAAATGGAATGAAAGATAAAACACCCATGCATTGTGTATATAAAATGCAATATTATAAAATTCATTTAACAACTCTCCTAAACAGTTTTAGCAAAACCAAATTATTTAAAAAAAAAATTAAATCCTAGTTCTAGCTGCAATTTTCTAAATCTTTAGTTATGCATAACTTAGCTGAACAGAGAGTACAGTAGCCATTATGTCTTAAAGTATTTTTTGTTTTTCTCTTGAGCAATAAGTCAGATCAAAGATGCCTGGTGTACATTTGTTTTTATGTTGTATGATAGATATATTTTAAAGATACATTCAATTATCATATTTATGACCTCATACTGCTTGTATGTTTCCAACCTGTCTCTTTTCAAGGGTCTTGTTGTGGTAAAGCCTATTGTATTTGGGAATAAGTCACAATTCTTTGGTAAGAAAAGAGAATCTGATGGACATACACATTGGTGGAAAGTGTATGTTAAACCATTTAACGAGAATGAGGTATTTTTTATTCCTTTCATTAAAACAGTCGTTCACCAACTTACTTGTTGTTTCCAATCAAGAGACACTGCAATTGATGTGTTGAGAGCACAAAGGGAAGTTTTTATAATATGTACATACAGAAAATTATATTCTATGTAAGCAGACTTCAAGCTTGATGTACAAGAGGGTGGTTCTAAGTTGTGACTCTCAGTTTCATGATTAATGTAATGGCAAGTTGCCTGGTGATTGCTTTCAGTGTGAAAGTTAAAGTTGCAACTTAGAATTGTCCTGTTCATCATACCCAGGTCTCAAGAGCTTTGTTGATTTATGGCACTAAACAGCAAGCGAATAAGCAGAATCCTTATAAACAAAATTTGTATTAAGACTTTTCAAACAATCATTCTGGTGGCACAAAATTTAAAAAAGGCTTTGAAAAATGCAAACATTTTGAAACATAATAAAGATTTTAATCCAACACTCTGGTTGATTCTAGACATTGTAGGGATCAATAAAAATGATTGGCCTTTCTTGATCCACAACTGGGTATATACTTTTCCTAGTGTAAAGTTTTCCATCTTTGTTCTGACGTTTTATCTATGAAGAGTGTTATCTCTTTATTGTGTTTTCCTTTAGCTTTCAGAAGTAAGGAATAAATATTAAATTTAGTTGTTATGTTATTATAGACTTGGTTAGGGATCAACCCTAGTTATAAAGCAAACAATTAAAAACTGTTGTTTAAATTATGTCCTTGACAATGCCAATATCATGCTAATTAAAATTGCTTTGTGACCTTAACATAAATATTCTATTATGCAAAAACAACTTTGTTAAATATTACCCCTACTAAAGAACATGTCAAGTTTCATGTTCTTCTTTGCCAGATGAACACCCCTGTCTAGTAACAATTCAACAAATTCTTCAAAATGATACAACAGCCTTCAGTTTTTATATTTTGAATTGTTTATTACTTATTCATTTAAATTTATATTTAGGATATGTCAGCATATGTTAAGAAAGTTCATTTCAAGCTTCATGAGAGTTATGCCAACCCACAAAGAAGTAAGGACTTATTTTGTAAACTTCTAAGTTTTGTTGCTTTTTAGTTTTGTTACCTGCCATGTTGTGTCATTTCTGCTGATGATACCATAATTCTGTTTACATTCGTGCTCTAAATCAATGCTTTTCAACCACTGTGCCACGGTATACTAGTGCCCATGTGTGCTGTGGAAAATTCTCCAATTTCACTTAATTGGTCTAAATCACCTCTTTCTTTAATTCCTGCCAGGATATCAACTCTTTGTTCATCAAAACAGGCCCATAAAATTTCACTCAGGCCCACAAAAATTCTGTTCAAGGAAACCGAAAAACAATAATAGAGAAACAAACCACTTTTAAATCATTCAGCAAAATAACCTTGTGCTCTTTTTTAGTACTTGATGCCTTCGGAATACCCTACTGGTTAACTGGATGCCCCCTTGCCCCCTACTCCACTCAATGGAAGCCCTTACTGGCAAACCCCTAAGCAAAACACTGAAACCTTTGATTTTGAAATATTTCCCTTTCACCTCTAATCAATATATTACATTGTTGCAAGAATCTCTTTCTGTACCTAAACAAATCTGTTCATCTTCCAGTATCATGAATCCTTGAATAAGCCCCTGTGGCTTATTTGCAAAAGTAATTTTTTAGGTGGGAGCTTATTCGAGGAGGGGGAGGGGGCTTATTTTAAATTTTGATATTTTTCTCAAAAGTTTACATATAGAACATAATCTTTGCCATTCATTTTTGCTTTTTGTCGTCAGCCAAAGATGCAAGACCATTGTAGCTGAGTACAAATTACAATAAGCTTTGTAGGGGTAAGCTAGTACGCTGCCAATAATTCCCTCAAATAAGGGCCAGGGGGGCTTATTCGAGGAGGGGGGCTTATTTGCAAAAAATGATTTTTTTATGTGGAATCTTATTTGAGGGTGACTTATTTGCAAAAATGAATTTTTGATGGGGGCTTATTCGAGAGGGGAGCTTATACGGAGATGAGGGATAATTTGAGGATTTACGGTATTTTGTTTCTCTTGCAGTTTGCATGAAGCCACCGTACGAAGTCTCAGAAACTGGCTGGGGAGAATTCGAAATCATTATTAAGATTTATTTCGTTGATCCAACGGAGAGACCGGTTTGAACTTTGTTTTCAATGTTTGGCATTTGCTACTGAAAATGTTTGAATATTTTTTGCATGGAGATATGATTGAAAAAATATCCCATATATTACGCTATTCGTTTGTAAGATAACTGCCTATGAGAGATATAAAAATGCTTCTTCCCTAAATAAGATGTTCCGGTTTAGTGTTTCGAACCTGCTTGGAACACGATTGTGTTGGTTGACTCGACGTACTGCAAAATTTTTGTGAAAGTTGTTCTTAAGATCCGACCTTAATTCCATCCAACCATGACAGTTTGAAGGAACTGTAAATCTAATTTTCATTTCGTAAATCAGTTGTTCCTTACCATATTTTTTACGTATTTCTAAATTAACAGATACCAAATAGATAGCAGATAAATTAACAGGCTAGATCATATTTCTTTTTCTGACTCTTGTATCCCAGTGTTTCACACGTGAGTGATGGCATTCAAATCTTATGTTTCTTTTTCCAAGGTGACTTTGTATCATTTACTCAAACTCTTCCACGCCGATGCGCACCTACAACCACAACAACAGGTCCCTCGCAAGGAGCTTGTATCCGAATTTTACGATGAAATTGTATGTTGCTTTTGTCATTTTTAAGTTATATGATAATTGTTTATTAATTTGAATACAACTCCGTAGGGGAAAAAATAACAATAATCAGGATCAAAGTAAAATGATGACGATAATCTAATATGTTGTAAAAAAGTAATTTTAAATTAATCAAATGCAAGGTTTCATCAGAGTAAATGTTCGTAATAACAAGGGACCTGACTTTTAATATATGATAGCAAGAAAGTTCGTAATAAACACGGTTCGTAGTAACGGGATCCCTCTGTATTTGAAATTAGTGAAAAACTGTCATCTGTTAAAATCTTTAAATAGGCACGGCTGGGAGTGTTTTGTAAGAATAAGACCCCGTTTGTACAAGAGCGGATCCGATCCAGATTGGATCCAAAAGAGTTATATTTTTGATCCGTATATTTTTGGATCAGCAACCCGAACACTTTTGAGATCGCTTTCAGAGGTGATCCCATATGGATCCGATCTGGACCGGATCCCGTAAATGGTTACTCTCATTCTGCATCTAGATATAAATTTTCTGTCTATCTTTGGTCATTATCCGAAGTCCATACTCTGAAGAGTGGCGGACAAAACTAATTTAATTTGATATAGCTCCAGTTTTTAGGGCTTTTTATTTGCAGAACCAAAAGCTTTTTTCGTTTTTACTGTTTTCTAGAATTCAATTAGACGTTTTCCTCGTTTTCTAGATTTTTCAAGACCCCACTCAGCTGATGCACAAGATGCTTGTCTCTGGAAAGACTTTACTGCCAGCAGAGAAACAAGACACTAATTGTAAGTCGTCCAATTCTCATACGTTGTCACACGATCTCGTGTATGTTGCGTGCCTCAATTTCTATATCTAGGGGAGAGGAAAGGTTGCGTTCAGTTCAAGAGCTGGTTTTAATGGGAACCTTCTAAAATATAAATATGCAAAGTTAATCTTTATTATGACATCATGACTCATCTAGACTGGACAAAGATCTTCATATTTTTTTTAAAGAACTGACAGTAGTGTAAGATCTTTTATTAGGTTTAGGTAGTTTACTATTAATTTTTTATACCTACATTGTAACTTTTAATTTTGGGGACCCCCATGAAAAGCACCTCTTGGTGATTTGGGCATCCTCTTTAAAGATTCTTTATCAATCAATCAATCAATCAATCAATCAATCAATCAATCAATCAATCAATCAATCAATCAATCAATCAATCAATCAATCATTAAAATCAATCAATCATACCAGTCAATCAATCGATCATACCAATCAATCAATCAATCAATCAATCAATCAATCAATCAATCAATCATTAAAATCAATCAATCATACCAGTCAATCAATCGATCATACCAATCAATCAATCAGTCAATCAATCAATCATAACAATCAATCAATACCTGTTATTTTACTTCACTAGGTATTTTGGGGGTGGTTCGCAGTCTCGATAAGATTTCGTTTTTCTTGATAATTTTTAAATATTATTCGGTACGGGTCGGCTATAAATTGATTGATGTCAATTGTGCTTTTAATTCTCAAAGAGCTTTAAATTCTAGATTAAGTTTATATATTTTACTTTGATGCTTTGTGTTTATTTTTATGCCAGATTTTTACATAAATTTATCTGTAGATCATTAGGACTTCGAGCCTCGCTTAATTTCTTTTATTTGACCATGTGATCATAGAGGGAAGGGGACATCGGAGCCCCCCCCCCCCACCCCCCTTATCATTCATCGCCATTTCAAGCTTCTTCGATCAAAAGAATCAGTCAAGATCCCTACCAAGCCCCACCCCCTAAATTATTAGTATCCGCTACACCCATGACTGTGACTTTAATGCAGATACCGTTTTCAGTTTGATATGGATGATTTGTAAAACTATTATTAAGTCCTCGCCCTTTTTAGGTACCAACGCTCTATATCAATTAAGTTTCCTATGGATTTCTCTACATAGCTATCAGTGTAACATTTTGTTTTTATTTCATCTAGGGAAAGGGAAAGAGGAGCGAACAGTAGATGCAATAGCGAATGCAAGAAAGAGGGTAACGGAAGAAATAACACAAGTTAAAGAGCGGCTTAAAAGGCATAAAAATGCGATTCAGACACTGAGGGATGAAATCTCTAAGCTGGAAGATGTTAAGGGATCAGGGTAGCTGATCAGGGTAGATTTTGAGACAGCGGGCGAAAGGCTTTTGCAGCAATTCCCAGCTGTGGTAAGGTGAATTGCCATGCTGTATGCCAGGCAGTATAGCAAGGAGTTGCCTTTCCTTCTGTTTACCAAATGCAAAAGAATCTACACCCCACTGCATTGATTGTACATTGTGCAAAGTACTTGCGCTGGGTGATGTCATTCATTGGTGCTTTGAAACTTGGATTCTCCAGTTTCTATAGGCCTGCAAACTTAGGAAGGACATGCTCCAGTTGATAAAAACTGTATTTATTTATATCGAGTCGATTATTGATATTGATTTTTCTTCAGTCGTATCTTAGTTCTCAAAAATTTTCAGCCAGATCCTTTCACCATTTGTCTAATCCTGAATTTTGCGGTGTATCGTGAGTGTTTCTCGAATCTTTAACCCTGGGGGCTTATGAATTTAACGTTTTTAGAAGGGGGCTAACGGTTGGGGGGGGGATTGGCTTACGAAGATATTCCAAACCCCTTACTTTCGTCTAGTCTTAAACAACAATCCACAAGTCGAAATTGACAACAGAAACACTGTAAAAGTGCTTCGTTTATTCCATTGTTCATTGTCTTTGTGATTAATCGTGCAATTAAATCATATATTTTAGACATTGGTATGTTAGGGTGTGAGAGGTTTTGGAGGACGGTGGCTAACTCCAAAGGGTTGCTTAAATATTGAGAGGGAAAGCTGTATGCTAGTCGGTCTGGAAACATGTGCGATACAGTTCTATGGACAGCTGGACCTAATATATGTACATACGATGTTTTTATTGAAATATCAATCACCTCTCGTGTCCAGTCTCATTTTTGTTAGTAATTGCTGCAAACATTGCATTTTTCGTCCGATGTCCAGGTGAGAAAATATCAATCTGTCGCATATCTATACATCTGTCACATAAATCACATTCTAAGAGATCTTAATACTTCCACCTTACAAGCAAAACTCTCTAAATCCTTCACGTTTGTCCCAGCTCTGTCCGTCCGAGCAATGTTTTATCCTCCTAGTGTTGTCGCAAAAGTTCAAACCCAGAATGCAAGTCCCAGAATAATTTCCTTAGTCCCAGTTGTCTAGGTCTCAATTCCCAGTGCCGAAAGAAAGCAAATCCCATTTCCCTAGACCCTAAACAGTAAAGGCCTTATGTACCAATTAATTTTCGAATCAATCAATCCATGAAAGTTTTGTGTATCTTTAGCCAATTGTTGATGTTATTTGTCTTATATAGTTTCTGCATTCAAGAAAGAGCAATCGCGATCATGAAAGCTTCAAGCACAAAGATTTACCTATCTGCTGGTGAAAAGGCCATACTGGATACCACTGCCCTAAAAGCAAAACAATAGCTAGCCATTGCGCTCAGGTACAATTTGCCGACAAAATAGGTGAACCATCTTCATTTGCCTACACGTCTTGCAATTTGCCGACGATGCACCCTTACATGTCAAAAAAGACTCCTCGTTTTGCAACAAACTTTTTCCAAGGGGCTGTCACACCCCCAACGCCCCACCCCAGCGACGGCCCTTCTCTTGCATGTGAAGTAAGTTATTGCTACACTTGAACCTGTTGTTGCTACACTAAGTTGATTTTCTAATATGTATAAATCTCAATTCGACACTTAAACATTCAAGGGAAGGCGGCGACTATTTCGCCCAGACTGTAAAAACTCGGATACCGTAAATCCTCGAATTAGCCCCCTGGGGCTCATTTATTTTTGGTATTTTTGGATAGGGGGTTATTCGAGGGGGCTTATACGAGGGGGGCTTACAAAATTATAGTAGACATAAAGAAGACATTATTAAAATACCTTGAATACTTTGGGAGGAATTTATTTATTAACATTTAATTAATAATTTCCAAAAGTATGAATTTTTATGGAAATTCAATAAAACACCAAAGGCAATCTCAGATGGCAGTCATCAACAAATCAAGAAGGGCAAATTGGAGTATTTACGGTAACAGTGGTGGATTATTTGAGAGGGGGCTTGTTAACAATTTGTAGTTCTAGGGTAGGGGCTTTTTCGAAGGGGGGGGGGGATTTGAGGATTTACGTTAGTTGCTAATCTGTTTGTCTGTCGCTTCATGTGAACGGACACACAATAAGTACAACAGTAAAATTTTTAACACACAATATTCAAAATTTTGATATGTTATACTTAATCTTTTAAAAAAGGCGTGGACGGATAAATACAATTGCTTGTTTCTCTAGATCCCAGTGCCTCCTCATTTCCAGACCGATCCAACTACGCTTGATATCTTCCTTTGTTTTATTTATTTGAATTCTCACGTGGTATTGAATTCTGAGAAGAAGAATTACATTACGTGTTTAGGGAGGGTACGATGTTTGATTGTGACGTTTGATTGGAAGTTCCCTTGGTTAAAGAAGTTGTGAACCGGGGAGTTGTGATTCAGTCTCATTGATACTACCTACTACCCAGTAAAGATCAAAGAGAAAGCAAGAAAGTTGTTCAAAATGGCCAGACGTGACCGATTTGACATCGTTTTTAACAACGACATAGGACCTGGCGCTGGCACAGTGATGATAGGCCAGAACAATATTAATCTACACGCTCCAGCAGGTAGGCCTAGCCTAAACATGACAGTAAGGCATCTTAAACGTTCCAGTCGTTTTTTAGGTTTTGAGAATGCCAGTGAGAATGAAGCTGAGACCTAAACGATATTTTTTGTTATTTCAATAATGTATTTTCAAATAACAGGGTTTATGTCCCCTCCGTGGGACTCGGATTTGTTGTAGTTTGTTTCTACCAAGCATTCGAATCTAGTTTTTTAGGACACCGAGGAACTTTTCTGTTATTCATCAAGATATAATTTATTAACATTTAAAGACACTGAGATTTAATCAATTTACACTGCACTGTCCTACCTCAACATTGTAAACGAAATCATTACTTTGTTTGATAATGCAAGTAATATGCTACTTGTTCATATTACAAGATTATTAAGTGAGTAATTTATTTCTTTTTGTTTTGTACAGCTCAGCAAGCACCACAACATCAAGGTATGAAGAATCTTCTTAATTATCTCGCAATTAATTGATTAGATGCTGGCAGCCATAGTATTGATATTACCAGTCTGGCAGACACAGACCCTGGGAACATAGGGTGGGGACCCAACCCATCATCTTCAATTTAATCTCATATGTTCTAAGTTTCCATGTTGTATTTTCTATCACTTTTGTTTTTGTAAGAAAACTGCCTCAGGTAATATGATTCCTTCTGCTCACCCTTGCCCACTTGATAAACAGAATAAGGTCATCAACTGGAGTAGGACTCTGTGTAATTGATGCCCTGTTTACAACTTTCAGGACTTTTGCCAGCCCTAGAGGTATTAAAAATGAGCTTTAAAATTTTCAAGATTTTTTTCATGTGTTACAAAAATGTGATACAATGATTTAAGTATGATCTAAGTAGTAAAATTTACAGGTTATCACAGCATTGACTGCCAAGAATTTGAATTTCCTTCTATTTCATCAAAATTCAAAATCCATCAAAATTTCAATCAAAATTCTGTAAAATAGTTTGGATTTGCAAACTGCAATGCCCTACTTCCAAAAATTGTATGATTTGATTAAAAACATACAATTTATAAAATTGGACTCATTCAACAAAATGGTTTTAAGTATCATTTTAAGTTAGATATTAATATTTACTTAATTTCTATAAAAGATCTTCAACGGAATTTGACCTACAAATTATGACATTTGATTTCAGTTTATGTGATTAAGCTTAATATAGTTTCAAACAGTAAAATTTATTTACTCCAACAGTTAACTTAAATATTAATAGATTCTCCATGGAAAGTTCATTTAGAGCTTTGAAGATTTTAGAAATAGGCTTGGTCTTAATGAGTGCTGCTGGAATAGGTCTTGGTAATGTCTATTATTGTTAATCTCCTTGGATTTGTTATGTAGCAAGTCTTGCTACCTGTTCTTTAATTCTATGAATATTTTTCTTTTTCTTTAACAGAACCAAGAACTGAAAATGGTAAGGCTATCTTTCCTACTGTGTTTTTCTTTGCACTGACTTCAGTCATCGATGGTAATCTTTTTTAAGTAAATATCTAAAGTTTTAAACCAATTACTCCTGGCTGTTCTTAGATTTTCTCAAACTTGTAAGAGCCTTGTGAATGTTTCCTGTTACTATGGAAAGGTGTTCTGTGATTTAGGGCTGCTATTCTGCATAACACTGCACAAACAGTGACCTTTCTGCAGAGTCCAATAGACCCTAGAGCGATGCCCATTTCTCCTCCTGTCATTGAGCTAAAATTTCAAACCTTTTTCAAATGAAAACAAGGTGTGAAGTGGGTGTGAAGTGGGTGTGAAACAGGTGAGGCATTTAAAGTATTTTGTTTTCAAAGACCTTCTTAGGGTCCTTGGTCATCTGACTAAAAATTCAGGCTCAGAGTTGTAAGAATTTATTTTCAGTATAAAGCACTGATGGTATATGGTAATTATATGATGGTAATATGTCAAATTCTGGAAACTAGGAATATGGAAGGCATGATCACACTCTTTTTTCTCTTTGGGAAAGTAGAGACTATGACATTTCTAGGTTTATTTAAGACATGTGAGAAAAAGAGATCTAGAAGATAACTGAAATGAAAATAAAACTGACTTGATTGGTATTGACAAGTAAATGTTTTGCACAGGGCTCCTCAAAAGGCCTCTGCAAGGATGTTAATTGACTGATATTTTTGGGAGGGTGAAGGGTACAAAATTTCTCACTGACAATAAGCCAATTGCAATTTTGTAGATGAATAGTAGTAAGTCTTTTTTCTTTCTGAACTGAGGAAACATAGCAAACATAGCAAACATAGCAAACATAACTTTAGCAGTTTGTTATGTCATTCTCTCAGGTAGATAAGCATTAGAATTACAAATTACAATCCTAGCCAAAACTCCTTGACACTGAATTAAAATTTACACAAGCTATCAATTGTTCCAAAGAAAAATAGGGACATATGAATTCATCCCCTCCCCCCTAAAATAGGGACATATGATATCAATTTTGGTGTTGTATGAGAGCTAAATATCCCAGCATTAAGTTTTAGCCCATACAATCACCCCAACATTGATATCATGTTTTGGCTAGGATTGTAGTCTATCAGGTTTTGGCTAGGATTGTAGATTTTACCGATTACTCTCAAACTTCCGACTAATTCAAAGATCTTCAAAGATTGGGGGTGTGAAACCCCACATTCCCTGATATTAATGTGCCTGGGCCTTTGCCAATGAGGTGAGGGGCAACACAAGATTCAAATGTCAACTGTTTTCACCATGCCTTAAGACTGACTGAAAATGTAGTTCAGGGAATACTGTTGCCATTGTAAGCAGAAATTTGCTGCCTCTTTTATTTAAACATCTTGTTAAAAATAATTGCATGAGAAGGGCAGGCACTAAGAAAATCTGTTACCAAGTTGTGGTGCTACAAGGGGCAGGGAGAATGGAGAAAAAGAGGGACCCACCTTTTCAGAAATATGGTCCTCAGGATTTGTGAAAGATTGTCGAGGAAATTGATGGTAGGATGATTGTGTTTTCTCAATTGCCCTAAACAACCTTTGTTGAGGCATTTATATGTGCATTTGCCAACATGTTTCATTGAAAGCCATGTAAAAATGATCATACCTAGTAGTACATAAAATGGCCTATCCTAGGATAATAAGTGTTTTCCTGAAAAGGGCGTGGTCGCAAAAGTTCCTCATTCGCGCTTTAGGTTGCTGAGATACGTATGCTGTTTATAGTCAGTTTGCATCTTAAACAGTTTATGGCTCTGAATGTGTAATTTCATCTTTCAAGACATATTTATTTCTTTCAGAATACAAAGGCAGGTCAATAAATCTAAAATAAAATTACAATAAATTTGTTATAGAAAATAGAATGCAATTTATCAAATTACGTTATAATATGGCACTAATTTCACCAAATTTTGTTCAAGTTGAATTCTGAATCAAATGAGTGCTGATGAATGAAAAGATTGTTCTTCATTGCAGGCCCTAATCTTTCAGAGGAAAAAAAATTTGAATTCAACGAGGAAAGTTTTCATCACTACATGAAAAAGGCTCATGTCGTTCTAATCCATAATTACAAATATGATTCACGTGATGAACCGATCAGGGAAGGCTCTGACAAGGATGCTACAGATCTGAAAATGCTTTTTGAAACCGAGCTGGCATTTCCTTTTAAAGAATTTGAAAACTGCAGTGCTTCCCGGATCGAAGAAATTGTCGAGATGCTGAGTCAGCGTGATTTCAGTGCAAATGACGGGTTTGTTTTCATATTTTTGGGGCATGGCAAAAAGGAAGGTCTTGTTGGAACTGATGAGAAGGTCGTGTCAATTTCAGAGATTACAAGCTCATTCACAGTTGACAGGTGCCCATCGCTAGGGGACAAGCCAAAAATTTTTATCTTCCAAGCCTGTCGTGGTGATAAATGTGATTTGGGGGCATTTGCAGCTGATGCTGAACCAATGGAAAATACTCCCCTCGGGCGGACACTTCCTGTTGAAAGTGATTTTCTTATTTGCTACGCTTGTCCTGTTGGTTTTAGTGCTTTTCGCGACCTAGAAATGGGATCTTGGTTCATACAATCGTTTATCTTCATGACCAAGAAGTATCGCAAGGAAGAGCACTTGATGGATATTTTGTTAAGGGTCAATTTCGACGTTGCTTCCAAGACCTGTGATGATAGATTCAAGCAAATTCCAAGTCAAGAATGTCGGCTTACCAAACGCTGTTACTTTGCTTCATGAAATCATAACACTTGCGTTAATTTAGATATTCGCGGATAAACCTGTCCCCGCTGAATATCCCCACTTTCCCGAACACCCTTGATCCCGAGTATCCCTCGACCCCAAATAACCCTCGTGTTTTATTTGACAACGCAGCAAAAGATTTCAATGCGAGTCCATGAAATGATTCTTGCACCATTGAAAATTTTAAGCATAAATTATTTACAGTTGTATTCTATCTAGTTATGCCAATGGCGCTGGCACACCCTCTTTTTCCGATTTAAGTCCCAGAAGAGAATATTTGGGACAGGTACTATTTTGGCAAAGCATATCGTGATTTGATGGGCGCTCTCTTATTTGAGAGGGTCGCTCTCTTATTTGGTAATGGGCGTCCCCTGTTGGTTGCACGAGCATTTTCGGTCGGTTTGTTGCCTGGGCAATTCTGGTTTACACTGTCATTAGCGTTCCCTGTCAGTTTCTAAAGCGTTTCCTGTTGGTTGCACGAACATTCCCCCTTGGTTGCACGAACGTTCCCCCTTGGTTGCACGAACGTTCTCCCTTGGTTGCACGAACGTTCCCCCTTGGTTGTACGAGCGTTCCTCGTAGCGAGTGTTCACTTTTGGTTGCAGGAGCGTTTACTTTTGGTAAAAAGGCGCTTCCTGACAGAGAAGGAGAGCAGCATAAAACGCTTTTTGTCTTCCCAAACTTTTGTAGCCGTCGCCGCCATTGGTTTGGCCATGCATTTCAATGGTCAGCTAAATTCCATAAGCACCCAATATTTGTAGCGTTTCAGCATCTTATCTATAACTCACGTCCATTAAAAAGGAGGTTTTTTAAATACGGCCTAGATTTTGCGAAAATCGGGATTGATGTCATCCAAGTTAGAAAGGAAACAAATTTGTCTAAGTATTGCTTACAGTAGACCTTAAAGACCATTGGTTGATATTGTCGTTGCCCTGGATACCAGAGCCCAAGAAACCGGAAGGAGAATGGAGATGAGAGACACTTTATCTCCTTCAATTTTTTTCCTTTTCCAAATTTCTTAGGCTCTGGTAACAAGGGTATCTTGGCGTGGACAAAGATTAAAAATATTTTTCGCTGGGTGTGTAAAACACCGCATCATCTGTGTATTTGTTTATTTGTTTAGATTATGTGACAAATTTGATTTGTACCAGTAGCTACCTGTTTCTGTTTAACTTTTGTTTGTACAGTAATCGAAGTTTCTGTAGATTTATGGTTCGAGTTAAAACTCGTTTTCTTTGTGACGAATAGCTCTTGCATTAAAAAAGATGTATGCATTTGATTAAAAAATTGCTTTTGCGTTATAAATATTATCATTTTATTGGTATGAACTTTTTAGTGCAGGTCACTTCCAAAGGGAACTTCAAGAGTAGATGTTTTTGTGTGGGTTTTCTGCAAACCACTGTAACCTAATAAAAGTTAAATTCATGGACGTGCATTGAAAAAGAACAATAGGGCCTTCTGTGACCAGGGGCTTCACCCGCTAATATTTTAACACCGTCCTTGTCAAAATCAAATATAGTCATGAGCTTTTGCCTTCAAAACGCTTTAACCCGTCCTCTTTTTGTTGCTCAAAAACGCATAGCGATACCCTTTTTTTGGCGCCCAAATATGTGCACAACTTTGTAATGAAATCCCAAAAAATTCTTTTTGAGTTGCTTTTCGAAAATTTCTAGAAATTTTGCAATGAATTAACCACCATATACGCTATATGATCAAGGCTTTTACTCATTTTTCTCAAGTTCTCCCCTTTTTAAAATTGCGATATTTTTGGGTAGCATTGCACACCTTGCAACCATATAACAGATATTATTTCTAGACTATGTCGGAGCAGGAATTAATTTATCCACACTTTTTCACAGATTGTTACCATCTCGTCTCGTCTTTTAGTCATTTTCACCACTTGCATCGTCTCCCAGCACCAGTGTTTCGATTAAGATATACCAGTTTTCTGTTGTTACGTCAGCGATCATTTCTGAGATTGTGACGTCAAATTTATTGGTTACGCTCTTTGTATATAAAAGGCGATTCATCGGTTATTAAAGCAGAATTTCAGATCGATTCAGCATCTGAGGTAATACTGGCTGCTGTTATCTTCGAAAGGAAAGCAAAGTTTTCATTTTCCAAATCTTGGGAAATCATTTAAACATTCATTGTAAGAAACACCTTCAATCTTGTGAACGCTAATCGAAATCAAGATGGGAATTTGTTTTTCCAAATGCAGTGTTGAAGATGGTGAGTTCTTAAAGCTTTTACTTTCCATGTTGTTGCTGGCAGTTTTGTTATATTTGTAAAAGTATGATCTGTAGGTGTTTTTTAATTTTCTAAGCTTTTTTAAGATCCAAATGATACCGTCTACTGATGATGCTAAGATCTAATGATGTTAAGAATATTTTTTGTCTGTCCTTTTAATTAACCTTTTAGCAGGGAGCCGTAAATAAATTTAAACAAAGCAAAATAAAAAGTAAATTTGACGATACTAAAAAGTAAGTTAAATTTGTTTATATGTTTGAAATTGCTTTTTAGAATGCACAGCAAAATGCACAAAGCGTTCGTTGACAAGAAATTGGAAGAATAAGCAAAGACTGAATTCTTCTACAAGGTCAAAGAGAACCAACACAGTTGCAGGTGAGAGTGAAGTATTGAAAATAATTATTGGTGTTTTGAAGCAAAAGAGTTAAAAAAATTGATTATAAAATCATGGTTTGTAAAATTATTAGAATGGCTATATGATGATACTTAAATATGTGATCACTGTACTGACGAGTACTCACGCATTTGTAATATCGCTTTGTTATTTTCGCTAACTCAAAATCATTTAAAGGAAGATCTATAAAGAATGAATAACAAGGTTTGACATCTTTGTAACTCAAAGAAATTGATAAAAGTGCCTACACGCCATAAGAATTCTTTTAAAAGTAGCTTTCAAATCTTTCCTTTCAGATATCAAGCCTTGTCTCGATATTTCCCAACCATTTGCAACATCGACACCAAGAGGATGCCAAACAAAGATGGTTAGTGATTATTTCAACCTATTCTTGTCAAATTTTGTTTTCTGAAAGCTTATATTTTCATTTCTTATTCTCAATTTCTTACTTCTGCACTCTGTTATGAATTATTTTAAGATAAAGTATAGTTTGTTTCTTATGTATGTTGCACATATCCTGGTAATTGAATCCTTATACTAAAAGAAGAGGCAGACGCAAACTGAATTGATTCTGATTTTCATTTTTTTTTCAGGTGCCGAAAAGCTGCAACATATTTTCCGCCACCAATACTGTAACATCCGATTCACTGGTCCACGACCTAACCACGATCAACCAAGGACAGATTGATGAAGATTCTTATGAACTCGAATCTGCCTCTGATTTTTTCCCAGATCCAGAATCAGATTTGACAATCGTCTCTGTACTATCGGAGTTTGAATCAGATTGCTCTTCCATTGATTTTTCTGATGTAGAATCCGATTGTGGATCAGATTCATCGTGGGGATCAAGTTTCGAGTCAATCGCAATATCGGATTTGGATTATAACGACAAATGCGAAACAAACTCAGAATTTGAAGATGAAGAAGAGACTGATCTCGACTTGACGATTGTAACACAGATGGAATTTGAAGACTCATTTTGAGTAATGGGCTCGAGGCTATCGTCATTCAGAGAAGAATTTGATTATCTATCAGAGGTAGAAATCGAGAACGAGGTGCGATCAATAATTGGGGATGATCATGGGAGACAGTACGTCGTTGATGAAATGGATGAATCGAAGAGGAAATTTGAACTGAAGGAAAAATCAGCACGACAGAGGTACAAGATGGTTGCACAAGCTGTTGTTGGATTCTTCAGATCAGCGTGGATGAAAAGTCGACGAGCCTTCAATTTGAAGCTTTGAGCGCCTTGAAATCCAAAAACAAAACGTTACTTAAAGACTGTTAAAACGAAATACATGTTTATAACACCAGAAACATCAACTTTTGGGTTTCTCCCATGCAAAGAAAAGGTGTGATGGAAATTAGTTTTTAAAATTTCTGTAGTTGATTTTGGACGGCTTTATAATTGTAAATTAAAATATGTGTGGATGAGTGCAAGTGATGTCAGAAATTGTCTTGTTTTTTTATGTTCTTCTCTCAGCATTCATAACTTATTATCAACTCAATTAATTATTATTTCTGATGTTTGAGAAGGATAAGGATATCATTTTAATATTATTCATACAATATCAGATAAAGCCTTATGGTCTTTTTATGGAAAAAAACAGGATGGGCAATATGAGCCTGTCAATGACCCCCTCCCCCCCTTGATTATGACTTATATCCTAAGCTCTGCGTTTACATGGAGTAAGAGTTTGTCGTATGAACACGAGATCCATGTCCCAGAACGTTCGATTTCATTTCTAAGTCCTTTTCAACTTAACAGTGAAAGCTATTTCAGATCGCAAACACGATCGCTAAGCAAAAGAAAAATAGAAAATTAATTAGCGGATACCATAGCACATCATAGTTTCATAATTATTTTCCTTTCCAATAATTTTGGTCGACTAGCCAGTTGTCATCGCTCTTTTGGAAGAGGAGAGAGTCCAATTGCATCATAAAGACGGCGAAAAAGAAAACGAATATTTGCCTTTTCCTAGAATATCTTGTTAAATGGTCGCTCGTTTTATGTCTAAACAAGCCTCTATTCTCTGTAAAACTCACAAACTTTCCTTTTACATAAAAAAGAAGTCTTTTATGGAAATTAATTTTTTCACAAGGCTGCTTTCGTTTTGAAATGTGCCCCTAATCGAATGTGGATTGCAAAAACGTTACTAAAGGCAAAATTGGAACCATATTTCGCAAAAATATTTCTAGTCACGTTTGCTTCTGTTTGAAACTTCTATTGTTGATATAGATTCACAGTGCTGCAAAACATTTATAGCAGTGCTGGTAGAAAATGGCTTTGGAAAAAGCAAACATTTTCGTCTAAGTAGTATCAGAATAAATTTCCGAAAGAACACGATAGAAAATATATAACCAATTGTTGGACGAAATAGGCCAATCAGAATAACACGAGCAAATGACCGGTGTAGTTGTCAAAACAGTACCGGGTGCTTATAGGAAAATTGTCAATAAAGTCCGAAAGAGAAAACGAACTCCTTCAGTTTACACAGTAGTGGTCTTCTTCGTTTGTATGTAGATCGATTCCAAAACAGCCATGTAGAAAAATGACCTGGCTCTGACAAATATCTGAAAAAGTCGTCATTATAGTATTTGGCACGACGTGGGTTGTCTAAAAGATGTTGTCCGATGGCAGAATAGCCTCTTCTCTTGAAGGAGCACTTTTGTTTCTTATGTTGGAAGGAACATGTTGTTTTATGCTCCCTCTCCCCCAATTCTTTCAGTTGTGCGTCCTACGTAACCAGAAAAAAGACTGGCACGACAATTCATAAACTTTGGAACTCTTTTGGGTGTTAGGAACACAATCCTTAAGAATGGATGGAAGAACTCTGCTAGCGCTGTAATTAATAGGAGGATTGACAGCAAAGAGCCATTTTGTAAAACTGCTGTTAGAGTTGTGTACTTCTGAAATGTTGAGTTTTTGATGCTTCGGAATAACATTCGATAATGAAACTATCTCTAGCTGAGCTCAATCTTCAATGTTCCAGGATATCGTATTCCCTTGATGTTTGATAGCTGGACTTGTCCATTGTCACAAAACTTTGATAATACCACTTTTTTGTTATTGAAATAATGTGATTTCTTTGTTCAAAAAACACTTCTTTCTACTTTTGCACTCCCAAAATTTGGATGGCCCTGGGCTGCGTAAAAAAATTCACACTTCAACTTGCGATCACACTTATATGCCTAGGCTCTACTCTGTTCTGATCAACAAACAGGATCAATAGTCTTGATACTATCCTTTGTTGTCATGTGGCCCCCAAGTTTTGTCTTCCAGCCCTCCGGTGATTAAACATTTCATTGTGAAAAAGTGCGTATTGTACAATCGCACCAAAACATCAGTACAACCATTTCTTTGTCATTATCAAACTTGTAATGGTGAAATTCAATTCTGTAGGTTTACAGCAAGTAAATGAACATTTGTTTTGATTTTTGTAGTAGCTAAAATACATTGTAAAATGAATTTATTGCCGAGCATGGTGTATTCTAAGGCCGATGTCAGTCTTTGCATATCGAGGGAAGATTCAAGGGACTGCAAAACGCCGATTGCTCCACGCATGACGAAAACTTCTCTCTGTAAGTTCAAAATAACTTCGCTGCAAGATTTGTTTGACTTGAATATGATTTTCATGTATCTGACTTTATGTGTTGCATGGCAAATTGATTAATATAAAACTATCCTCTTCTTCACGAACAGGAAATGTTTGTGCGACGCCATGTTTTCTTTTGTTGTTGAGAAGTCCCAACAGGTCTGGCCACGAATGAACGATTTAAATCCAGATTATTCAAAAGCTTTTTGGATTCATATAAAAAAAGCAAGAGAACATGACTGAATAGTAAGAGAAAATGTTTCTGGTCCTTTTTCTAATGTAGAGCTGAGAGGATACATTGTTGACTTGACTAGCGTGGTAATTTTCTTTTTATTCATGAAACTTTTAACATAAAAGAGCCCTTTGAATAAAGATGGCCTCAAGTTGAGAAGGAAGAACTCTAAAATGTAGTTCTTTTCATAACACTGCACTTCTACGTGTAATTGTAGTCTGCGTTTTTTTATCACCACATTCTAGAATAACGTGAATCAAAGGTATATTGCTTTCAAAATATAGGGACTCTTGCAGAAAATGTTGCTAGAAACAATAACAAACAAATAGCAAAAGTTTACATTGACTTATTTTCAGCATTAACAAGCACTAGCACTACACCGCCCACTCGAATCTATAGTTTTCTTGTACAAACAATTATGCACACTGATTTCTTTATCCGTCACTCTATTTTGATGATTTTTGCATGTATCTTTTCTCAACCAACAACATACCTCGATTTTAAGTATATCAATATTGCGCAGGTATAAGACATTGACGCTGAAACAGCTCTTTATAACAGGGGCATTGCCCCCTTCTCTATATCAGCGGCATCGCTCGGCACTCTAAAACAGGGGCATCGCTTCTAGAGAGCACCTTTTCAAACTAATGAGACACCCCCTTAAGCTCAAGGATAAATTAAACTGACAAAATATTAATAACTTACTTAGGAGTCTGTTATTTCTTAAGCAGGAATACCTTTGAACACGATATTCCTTTTGAAGGTAGCTTTGTCAACACTTTTCTCACCTCTCTTGGCATTCTCCTCGAATGGAAAATACAAGTTCAGTCTTGTTTCACTAACACTGGTTTTACAACTGCTTCGAATACCCCTCTATCACTTTGTATTAGACCAAGATATGGCAATTCGTCACTTCTTTAAGCGTCAGTTGGTTGTAGTCATGTAGAAAAACAGTTGTTCTTTCTCCCCATTCACCAAGACTTTTCTTGTTCTACCGACTGTTCAAGTACATACTTTAACAGTCCTGTTGCTCCGTGCTTCAGTTCCACTGTAACGCACCTGCTCTTTGATCTGTGTTACTCTTAAATATTCTACAAGAATTTACTCGAGTGCCAACAACATCTTCGCAAAACTCATTTGAAGTCTTGCCCTTACGGAGCCTTATCTCCTATGATAATATTTAACATGTTTCACAAAAATGAATTCTTGTCTGTCAGTTTTGAGAAGATGTAGATCTTTAACTGTGAAGATTTAATCTATACATGAGACATCTAACAAAAGCCCTCCGATGAAATACTAATTGGACGGGTTCAAAGGGAAAAACCATTAATTAAATTAAGCAGTAAAACTTTATTGTCAATGTTTAAAACCTACTCAATGTTCTAACTTTAAAATCTAAAGAAATGAAAAAGCTATTCGCTCGAACTCCAGACAGACAACTACATATATTTAATACCTTCATATTCCCTTTTTTTAAGTAGGGCTGTCTTCTAACACAAGCTGGTTTTCAAGAGGCCTTGCGATAGAAATATTCATTGCAAAGGCAAAGACTGTAAAAAAACTTATTATCCAAGACCTTCAATAACAGATCCCTTTGAGGTGTCAAAGCTGCTGTTTGTTATTATACTGGCAGCCCGTTTTTGATATTTGAACAACTACACACAACATCTCATAATCTTCTCCTCAAAAATATTTTTCTAGAAAACTGCACTTCTCTTGAAAAAGAGATTCCTACACTCTTTGTCCTTGTAGCGACTTGCAATAACTTATTGAGAAGTTTCATTGTCTTTATTACAAATAACCAACTTCCTATGAAAAAACCATCTCTCCCTTTCTATCTTTGTAAACTTCCATTTTTCTGGAAAAGCATTCGTTAAAGCATGTTCAGAAAAACAGTTTTCACTCTTGCCATCTTGGAAATTAGAAGTTCCTGATTCTACACATCGTAATTCTGGCTACTTTGCCTTGAAGCACCGCACCGCTTGTGTTTTTCAAGACCATCGTCTCGTAAAGTTGTTTCTGGTAATGTAAAATCAATTCAAATTTGCTTTCACTGCAAATTTCTTAATTTGCTACACATCTCTTTTTACTATGCAAGTTTTCAATTGTTACGTCAGCGATCATTTCTGAGATTATGACGTCAAATTTATTGGTTACGCTCTTGGTGTATAAAAGGCGATTCGTCGGTTATTAAAGCAGAATTTCAGATCGATTCAGCATCTGAGGTATTACTGGCCGCTGTTATCTTCAAAGGAAAGCAAAGTTTTCATTTTCCAAATATTGGGAAGTCATTTTAACATTCATTGTTAGAGACGTCTGCCATCTTGTGATCGTCAATCGAAATCAAGATGGGAATTTGTTTTTCCAAATGCAGTGTTGAAGATGGTGAGCTCTTAAAGATTTTACTTTTTTTTACTTTTAAATTTGACGATCCTAAAAAGTAAGTTAAATTTGTTTCTATGTTTGAAATTGCTTTTTAGAATACACAGCAAAATGCACAAAGCGTTCGTTGACAAGAAATTGGAAGAATAAGCAAAGACTGAATTCTTCTACAAAGTCAAAGAGAACCAACACAGTTGCAGGTGAGAATGAAGTATTGAAAATAATTATTGGTGTTTTGAAGCAAAAGAGTTAAAAAATTGATTATAAAATCATGGTTTGTAAAATTATTGGAATGGCTATATGATGATACTTAAATATGCAACCACTGTACTGACGAGTACTGACGTATTTGTAATCTCGTTTTGTTTTTTACGCTAACTGAAAATAATTTAAAGGAAGATTTATAAAGAATGAATAACAAGGACTGACATCTTTGTAACTCAAAGAAATTGATAAAAGTGCTTTTACGCCTAGTAAATTTTTCTAAAAGTAGCTTTTAAATCTTTCCTTCCAGATATCAAGCCTTGTCTCGATATTTCCCAACCATTTGCAACATCGACACCAAGAGGATGCCAGGCAAAGATAGTAAGTAATTATTTCAACCTATTCTTGTCAAATTTTGTTTTCTTCAAGCTTATAGTTTCATTTCTTATTCTCAATTTCTTACTTCTGCACTCTGTTATCAATTATTTTAAAATAAAGTAGAGTTTGTTTTTTATGTATGTTGCACATATCCTGGTAATAGAATCCTTGGGCTCAATGAAAAAGCAGACTCAAACTGAATTGATTCTGATTATGATTTTCATTGTTTTTTATAAGGTGCCGAAAAGCTACAACATATTTTCAGCCACCAATGCTGTAACATCCGATTCACTGGTCCACGACCTAATCACGATCAACCAAGGACAGATTGATAAAGATTCTTATGAACTCGAATTTGCCTCTGATTTTTTCCCAGATCCAGAATCAGATTTGACAATCGTCTCTGTACTATCGGATTTCGAATCAGATTGCTCTTCCATTGATGTAGAATCCGATTGTGGATCAGATTCATCGTGGGGATCAAGTTTCGAGTCAATCGCAATATCGGATTTGGATTATAACGACAAATGCGAAACAAACTCAGAATTTGAAGATGAAAGAGAGACTGATCTCGACTTGACGATTGTAACACAGATGGAATTTGAAGACTCGTTTTCAGTAATGGGCTCGAGGCTATCGTCATTCAGAGAAGAATTTGATGATCTATCAGAGGTAGAATTCGAGGACGAGGTGCGATCAAGAATTGGGGATGACCGTAGGAGACAGTACGTCGTTGATGAAATGGATGAATCGAAGAGAAAATTTGAACTGAAGCAAAAATCGGCACAACAGAGGTACAAGATGGTTGCACAAGCTGTTGTTGGATTCTTCAGATCAGCGTGGATCAAAAGTCGACGAGCCTTCAAGTTGAAGCTTTGAAAGTCTGGAAATCCAGAAACAAAAAATTACTTAAAAACTGTTAAAACGAATTATATGTTGATAACAACAGAAACATCAATTTTTGGGTTTCTCTCATGCAAAGAAAAGGTGTGATTGAAATTAGCTTTAAGAGTTTCTGTAGTTGATTTTGGATGGCTTTATAATTGTAAATTAAAATATGTGTGGATGAGTGCGAGTGATATCTGAAATTTGTTGGCTTTTGTTTGTGTCTTTCTCTTGGACATACTTTACCAGTTATGATTTATTATTACTTTTTCTGATGTTCGAAAAGGGTAAGTATATCACTTGTATATTAGTCATACAATGTCAGATAAAGCCTTGTGGCATTTTTATGCAGAAAGACAGAATGGGCAATATGAGCCTGTCAGTGCCCTCCCC